TGAGCTTGTCGAAAAATTCCTGAAGATGGCAAAGCCCCAAATGCATGCACCCAAGAACTCAGCCTATCCGCGACCTCCCGGAACCCCGGCCGGGACTCTGCATGTCTACGCTTCCGGCAAGCCCTGAACGTCTTGAGGCATTGGGAACTTCAAGATTTCAAACTGTCCTCACTGGCGGATTCTTGTTTTGCGCTGTGAAGTTTACCACCTGGTCAGTGGAGGAAATGTTCACCGCGTCAGATCCCTGGACCATCGTAGCTGTCAAGGGGGCAAGGTTTTTATGGCGGTGAGGGATATGAAAGATTGCCTGCAGCCCCAGCCAGCGTGGGCATACTCAATTCGCCGCCGAACTGTGGGCGTGACTGTAATGACAGAAGGGCTGAAGCAACTCCAAGCTGATTGGCGAATTTGCTTCCAGGTGATTTGCTGACAGACTATTGCAAGCTCGCCCTGCGGAATCTTGTTCCGGGTTTGTTCTGCTAAGTGGTTTCCCATGGAGGAGTGGTTGTGAATTGCAGTATACGCCCAGTCTCAATCCCTTCCCCGATACGAATTCCCCCCCTAACGTGAAATAACAAATCCAGGGGCCTAAACGTCCTGAAGAGCACTTTTAAGCATGCAACACTATTTCTAAAAGGGGCTACCGAAGAATGAATTAGGAGGGTTCTATTGGGTATGACGACGAATCAAGGATCCATTTGATTTCCTAGGTTTTCATTGCAGTTTAATTGGAATTTTCATTAGATTTAAATGCTGATTCTAATTCGTAATCACCCTTCATGAAATTATAAATAGGTTTCGATTAGACCTCAATTTTTCAATATAATTTTAATCAGAATTTAGATGGATTTACATCGACTGGAATTGTGAGCTAGACTTCGCTTCTCAACATCTTTCAATAAATGATCTCCGCTAATATTCAACCATTTTCGGAGGCCCGGATTATTGAACATTACGGGTGGGGGAAATCGTTGAATGGGGAAGCGATTATGTAGTTACTAAGTCTTCGGAACCTTCAAGAGCTGATTCGGGAATTCTCCTCTAGATTTGCTCTGGTGATTCGGGGTTCCATTTTCGGGACGATCAGTTCGTTGGAAGTGTATGTTCCGAGCATGTTCTGATCCATCTGGCCCTTATACTTGGATCGTAAGTGTTTACAAAGGAGTACTGTCATGAGATCAGCAACTGGCGCAGATGGTGCAACTCTCGTATGCTGGCGCACTTGGCACATTTAGCGGAGCTGGTGCAGCTGGCATCGGCGGACTGGCGCCAGATGGCACAAAGGTGGCGCACATTGCGCAGTCGGCGCAATTCCAGCAGATGGCGCACGCCAACTGGCGCAGGAGGCACATGGCATGGTGCCTTTGGAGCAGATATAGCGCGGGCGGCACAGGTTTTGCAACCTGCGCACTGGCGCCGGCTTAGCATGTGAGGCAACTGAGCAGCATTTTTTCACTCTAGATCAATTCTGAATGCGGACGACCCTATCGTCTCCAATTCGCGTCCGAAAATGGTTTTCCTGCGCGAGCGGAAGGACGCGGAAGCGTTTCTTCGCGGAAGGCTTGTGGAAGCTCACGTTTTCAGACAGCCGAAACATGTGATTCCAATTAGATGCATCTTGTGATAGGTTGGACACTGAAGCGGTGATAGGCTTCGTAACCCCAACACGCTCAGGCTTCCTCAATATTGGCTGAGGTCCCGAAAATCTACCGAAAAAGCTTCGCGGAAGGACGCCGCGGAAGGTGGAAGCAGAAAAGACTACAGCCAAGACTTGCGGAAGCTCCGCGGAAGGCCGGTGATATGGTAATGAAACCATGTGGGAATAAAAAAACAAAGCTCAACTGGCGAAGGCGCAAAACAGCTCAAAGGCACGCCTTCCGCCCGCATTCGGAGATTCCGCGGCGCATGTCAGAAACTATGGAGCAAAGTTCAGGATCCATGGGACAGTCACAGCAGCATGATGCGGCTATCAGCACTCCGTATATGTGAAGCAGGGAAGACCTGATCTTGTCCGGCCAAGCCCCGGGGCTATCACCGATCTCATGAAGTAGCTAGCCGCTGTTTTGTTGAAGAACCACAATCTAGCAGGGGAGGTATATGTGGTCAGGCCACCAGCCCATGCCAACTATCAGTTGCAACAGCAGACGGCTTAGGCATCATGCTGCTGCGACTGTCCCATGGTTCGTGCCATGCGCGCTAAACCCGCACCCTAAGCTCTTCACGCCAAGTCCTGCGACCTTCTTCACCTGCAATCACTTTGTGATCTTTCGGTTTGGACTCCACCGATTGATCCTTCGCAGCAGGCCGCGGATCACAATTGCTTTCTAGATTTAAGGTTGTACTTCCCGTTTCTGAGATGAAAGAATATGTCTGTGGGATAGCAACTTCTATTTTCGTAGACAGCAACCCAAAGCCAATGGGGGAACGGGGATCTGACAGGGTAATCGTATTTGGTGTCCACGGGGTTGGGGGAGGGAGCAAGGTGACGATCTTGGCCTTCAATGGCCTAGGAATGGTACAGTTTTTTGCAGTGTTGCATGCCAAAACGCTGGAAAATAAGAACCGATGAAGGCTGAAATTCTACAACGTGCCCTGGCTAACTGGTATGGGGGAAGCCTTTGCTGGTCAGGATACGTCAGGAACCTCCCAGCTCTAAAGCTCCAAAACTCGCCACGTGCAAAATGCATCATGACGCTTAAGTGCGAAAAGAACCTTGACATGCTGGGCTAAGTCGGCTCGTGTCTCAGTGCGAATTCACGGTCAGCCCCATTGGCGGCATCCGATGTAAGTCAGTCTATACGCTTCAGATGGCTTCAGAATGCTTCAGAACTTCAGCGTCAATACCTTCAAGCTGGATTGTGGCGTCATGCTGGGAGACATGCATTTAAAGGGGGCATTTGAGGAAGGCATAGGTTGCTAAGGCGCGGGAAGGTCTCGCGTGCTGTGTGCAATCTACCTTGGCACCACACGGTTGTACATGGTTGTACCATTGCAGCAAAAACATGTATCCACCGAAGCAGGACAGAGGGCGTCCCAGCAATCCACGTGAAGGCATGGCAATTTGTCCTGCCCGCAGTGTCTTCGGGAGAAGGCGTGGCATGGCCGCCTCAGGTTCGGAACTCTTTCGCGCCCCACGTGTGCGCCAGAAGGCGTGCTATTTACCAAAGGTGCAGCCTACCTGCATCATCAAAGCAGCTTGTAAAACGCATATGCGCAGAAAAAGGCGTGTGTCATGTCAGAAGCTTCGTGCGAACCTAGGCTAATAGTCAGAATTCGATTCGAACTGCGCAGGCCTCCCTCCTTCTTTTGGTGGTGATCGCGCTCTGGGCTGTCGACCTGGCTGGGCTCTCGAATTTTAATGCTGGTACTCTGGTTGGTGGATGTTGGTGAAGTTTTTGAATTCGAGGGTCCAGTGTCCGGTACAACCAGATGTTCTTGCGGTGAAGTAGCTGTCCTCAGCAGCAAGGTGCTTGCAAGTCGCCGTGTCATCCCTCCCGACTAAGCTTAGCATTGCGCTTCTTCAACTACTGCATACAAACACACACCCTTGGATTGCACGAAGCTGAGCGCCTCTCAGATCTTTGCTATCGACTCGGTCGCCTCCAAGCTGGCATCGGATCTGCTCCCAGAATTTCAGTTTCTTCTTGTGGGTCATCAACAGGATGCTTTGCTGAGCAAGCAGACGACTACGCTATAGGTCAACGATGTCTTCTTGAACTGTGCTTCGTCCGCCTTCGCAATGATGGGTCTCAGGCGATCTACTTAACCAACATCAAACTGATGCGATTGTGGTGTGATGGCATGGCATGGTAGCACTGGAAGACGTCCAAGTTGTCTCTCGGAAGGAATGTTTGACCAGCCACAGGTCGCTGTACTTCATCATGGAGTCACTGGTCCAGACCTTCCACATGTTGAAGTACGGAATTGCCGCTGTCCTTGTGCTCATTGGGTGACTTGGCGGACGGAAAAAAAGATGTAGGACTCACGACAGTTGCGCATTCTCTCCTCAGAGTTGTGGATGCTGCCGGACGTTTAGATCCAAAATGCAGCTTCAGTTGATGCAGGCTGAAACTTCTCTTCTCCCAGTGGCTGGACATTTCCAACTCTGTGATGTTTGCCACGATCATTGGAATTTGTGCGGCCAGTGCTGCTTCATCGTGCGCCAGTAGATTAAGCCGCGTCGTTAACTTAACGCCGCAGTCGCCGCAGTCCTATTGGCGCTTGCATGGCCCACAGTCTGCAATGCTGAGGGCTACGCTTTGGTGTTCCCCGAGAGCGGGCACCTGGGGTAACATCATAGTACACGCCCGGCAGAGGGGAGGAAGTGAATTGGCAACATCAGACAAAGTCAGGTACTATGATGTAACCTCATTACATGCAAGTCTTGCTGGCTGAGTCACGATGTCTTTTCTTGATTGGGTTTTCATGTGAATGCACAGCTCCCACAGAAGAGCTCTTCAGAGGTACTGGGTTGAACAAGTTCCGAATGCTTGTAAAGGCGCCTTGCCCAGTGTTGATGTCAAGAACCAGACACTCTTGGCAGGGTCGATCCATTTAACCATCCATCAGCTTGAACGTGGCAGGTGCGAATGGCTTGGAGTCTGAGGAGGCTTCACCGGCCACACTGCCTTCGATTTTTGACGTGAACACTGCGCTTGCGATTGTCGCAGTTCGCCCGGATTCGCCCGGCACATCCTGCTATTTGCAAAAGTTTGCCTGCAGGACATGGAGCGCACAGAGAGAGACTTTGAACGAGAGGCGCAGGGGGAACCAAATGCTGCAAGATACAGAGCTGCACCAAAGTCATGCCAAGCTTCCGCATGCGTGAGCAAGGAGGATTTCAACGCAAAGTAGGCTGTTTGGAATTGCCCTTGGCTCAGGGTGCGGAATCGCCAACCGCCCAGAACATGCCAAGCCCCCAGCAGCAGCTTGGAGACAGTGCCATCCTCTGATTGCAAAGCAGGCAAGACAGAGGTCCGGCTTTAAGTCTTGAACCAGCCATGGCCACTTCTGGTAAGATGCAAAGGCTGGATCTACGACTGGAACCTGCTAGGAGCTCAGTCGCAAGAGTCACTCTCGAAACTTGCTGAATGTGGCTATCCAGGTCACGCCATCCAGGCCGGTTCCGCTACGAGTGGATCAGGCACAGGAAAATGAACCACTGAAATTCGAGCACTGTGCGCTCCAGCCAGTCGTCGGTGTGGAGCCACAAGATACAGACTGGCCTGAAGAACTTGGTGGCGCAGAAAGCCTGCACGAAATTGAAAGCATGGCGGCCTCAATCGGCGAAGTCGGAGCTGCCAAGGCGGACCATGGGGGCACAACCAAGGACCAACAGCTTTCAACGGAGATGGAGGCGACGCATGTGCCGGGAACAAAGCGGCTGGGAGCTTGCGGTCCTGAAGAGCTCCACAACTTCGAGAACGAGAGCTCAGGATCCACTCTGTGGAAAGCTGGTATACGCATATACATATCTCTGTCTCTCTCTCCCTCTCCCTCTCCCTCTCCCTCTCTCTCTCTCTCTCTCTCTCTCTCTCTCTCACTCTCTCTCTCTCCCTCTCTCTCTCTCCGAAGTTGTGCAAGTTAGTCTCTTGTTTTGGCTATCCGTGCAAGATCTTGGTCTGTCCAGACCAAGCTGATGCCATGTCATGTCTGCTCCTGTTCAGGAGTGACCGGAGTCAACGCAGAAGAGGGAGAAGCACTCCAACTCACCGCGTTTGGCTGAAAAGTCAGCTAGTGTGTATTTGATGATGGGTATGATGGTGATGGGTATGATGGTGATGATGATGATGATGATGGTCTCCAACGTTAGTTTTTTTGCAGGATGTCCGTGGATCATTTGACTGAGATCCGTTGCAGAGCGTACTTGAAGCGCAGAATTCTGCAATGGGCAGCATTCACCATTTGTGCTGCCGCTGAGACTCAAGGCTTGGCCAAGGGGGTCAGTGCGTAGAGTGGCGTAGAGAGCACTTGAAGCTCAGAAATAAAACATGGACTATGAGAAACTATCCCGCAATCTTGCCACAACATCTGCTTGAAGTAGAGCCGTGAACATTGATCGGCGGGGTGCGGCAGCACGATGAGAGACCTGCCTGCAATTTCTGCAGTTCAAACCCTGAAAGAAAATCGCATGCATTAGGCGAACCGCGTGAGAAGGACAAGGCCAAGAAGCCGCGGAGCAGGCACGCAGCGAAGCAGCGCAGAGATGCGCAGAGTGTTAGGGAGGTGGCGCTTTAAGGACCGAGATCATTTGAGCAAACTCCGCTTCTGATTCGTCATGGGGCTATGTCAGTAGACAATTGTTGCAAAAGCCCACCTGTTACCCGGGATGCCATACGTATATGAGGAACTAGTCATTTCTGGGCTAGCTGGCTGAGCCTGCTGAGCTTGATCCCTGTACTCATTCACACATCTACTTGCGCAAGGTTGTTTACAACCTTTCGACGCACATCACGCCCGGATCGACTTGGGCTGTTTGTGCTTTGTTTGAGGCGTGGTGGAGCAAATGTCGGCGCGGAGAAGGGCATTTTCAGGCCAAGAGCTTGGCAATGGAATCTGAAGTGGATGTGAGCACTGGCACCTTCAATGCTTGCATATGCTTCATCCGCCGGCGACAAGGCACGTCCCTAGCAATGGCATGCTCTAGTGAAGGATGCTGACGGCCCTTGCCTCCAAAACATGCTGGACCTTCTTCCTCACAGCAACTGAAAGGGAATGCAATTGCTAGCGATATAAGTTGGATACAAATTGGCCGCCAAGTCATTTGGGGCTGTACCCAGCAGTTGGTGGAAAGGCCTTGGTCCAGCAAAAAAAGGTTATGAAAAGACGACAAGCTGGCCCGCACACATCGCATGTTTTCGGATTTCCTGCCAGAGTTTGAAGTGCTGGTAATGAGGACACCAATTGGAAACAAGCTAGGTAAGCCAAGAAAAGTTGCACCTGAAATTTCTGGGGTCTAGCACGCAAGCACCGACTGGAACTGCAGGGGCATTCTAAGCTTCTTCTGACGTGAAGTTGGTTTGATAAAATTTCCTGCAACTCTTGTAGCACACAGGCCGTGCAAGAAGCATTACACTGAGACAAAGCACTAGACATTGCCGTCTCCCTGTCACTGTAGGATGATGTTATTCCAGGTTGGCAGAGTTAGAAGCCTTAAGCTCATTCCGTGATGAAGTTTGAGTACGGTTATTGCATGGCCTTGCGCTTCCCCTCTGCAGGGTGTCTTGAAGTGCCAGCAAAGTTAGTGATCCAAGGCCCTACCATTCAGTCAGCGTTCCTAAGAATGTCGGGAGCTCGGAAATACATGACTGCCTTCCCTGCATCATGTTTGTCCACTTGACCATTGCCATCTTGTCCTTTCGATTCCGAATACTGCGCTGTCTCTTAGAAGTCACAAGGAGATTCTGTTCAGCTACTTGTAATCCTTGCGGACCTGGGGATCTCAGCCGTTTGACGCAGTGTGAAGGATCGTAGGCACTTTGTTTTTGGGGTCGGGGTGTTGACTACGGGATGCAACTAGCTGGCGATGCGCGCAGATCGCCTGATCTCGCAAGTTTGAATTTTAATGCATTCAAGGGTTTTTGCCTCCTCCGCTGACCTGAGCAAGGACTATTCCAATTCGTCTACGCTTGGCTCCGCAGCATCCATGCCCAAGTCATAAGAACGTTCGCGTTCCAAGAGCATCCGATCACAAGAAAGTCGATGCCCAAGCTTTGATGGTATGGGAGAAAAGGTGATATCCTTTTGGTTGGGATTCCGGGCCTCCCTGGGTGACCAGACTGATGGACACCGCACAGCCTGCGGGCATAGCCCCCGCAAGTGCTCTAGGGTGCTCGTGCCACAAGTAACAGCAGTGGATGAACTTGGGCGTCTCAGGGGCAATGAAGAGGTGGTGCAATCTTTTCACAGCCTACTCGAGCAGGTGGGAATCTCATTTCAGGCCCCAAAGTGTGAGGCTGATTTTCAATATATCTGGAGCGGTTGTGATCGTGACCGACCAGACCAGCGAATCTTGCATGGCTATGCCGCCCCGGCGTGTACGTGAGAGTACGCAAATCCCACAGCAGAAGAAGAAGAGAGTGCATCCGCGGTCCCAACCAGACGTCGGACTGTGCAGGCTCAGGGCTGCGCCTTGGGGGGGCTAGAGGGCCCCCTAGAGCTTTAAGAAAGAGAAGACGAGAGTGCTTGGGAACTGTCATTTGGGATTGATATTTGTAGGCTCGGAACCCTGATCGCCCCATGTCAGTTTCACCCATGGCAAGCTGCCTGGAGAAAACTCCGATATCTGGCCAAAGTCCTAAAGTCGAAAATGTATGGAGACCTCGTAACAGTGCTCAGCTACTGCTTCACTTAAGAATCTTAAGGCGAACAAAAATCAGCGCACTGGGACTCAAGGTGTTCATGTTGGCAAATGGCACACATGTTGTCGCGTAATAGCTCCACATCTGCGTTACGCTGTTATGAGATAGGGGCAGACATGTGTGGTAACATTGTAAGCAGTCGAAGCAGGCAGATCTTCTACACAATTTTCAAGCTGACAGGCCGAGCAGTCCAACCCAGTTTGCTGACACACAGGACAGCTGTGTATCACGACTGCGCCAGGCCCAAAACCACAGTTATGCTGCGGTTGGCAGCTTACTCCTCAGGAAGATGTCCACAAAGCACATTTGCTCTTGGCCAAGGAACATTCCGAACCGCTACTCGCAGGTACCAAAAGTGTAGGCAGAGCAACTGGTATGTGCGAGTCTTTGCTTGCAACAGGCAAGCTTGCTTCAAGAGATTGACCTGGCCGGCTATCGCGGCCGGCCACTGAGCGAGCTTGACCGAACGTGTGCAGCAAGTGCAAGAACGGACTCCTGGCAAAATGAGCTTGACCGTCGGAAAAGTGATTGCAACAGGTACCTACGACTTCTTTTACCTGCCCATGGACACCCAGAACAGGCCTTTGGGCGGAACTTCCTTTTCAGTGTTGAGGCAAAGGCTCAATGACACAGCATTCCTAATTCCCAAACATGAAGCTTAGTGGCCCTGGGGTGCGTGAAAAACGTTGAAATGCAGTCTGTGTTTTGGGGATTGCGTTGCCGAGTCGAACAGGATGCGCCCCAGTTTTACCCGAGCAGCACTCAAGAGCTGGTCGTAAATCTAATGAGTGGTGCGGAATGTAATTCTTCCAGCCCCAGCGAAATTGTGATCACAGGGGTGCGTGCGCGCTGGCTGGGACCAACAAATGACTGTGAGGATGGAATCTTTGCAGCAGCTGAAGGATCGGAAAAGGGCCCTGGCAGTCAGTGCGGTTACATATGCATAAGTTGGGATTAGAAGAGAGCGTATGCATTGATAGGCTTCTCAACAAACTCGCAGGGGCACAGGGTTGGCAAGCATGTCCCATAATATAAACGGCAGTTGGCTCTCAAACGGTGAATGATGACATTTTGCAGGGCACCTCATGCGAATGGCCCGCATGAAGACGATGGGGCTTGTTGGGGAGCCGCTGGAGATAAAACAGCAAGATTGAAATGAGCTGCGCATGTAGCTTTGTAGCAGTTTTGCGCAGGCATCTCATGATAAATTGTTGAACATGTCGGCCAATCTATGCGATTGTACAACTGATTTGAAAGCCGAATCTAGAATCTAAGACTAGCTGGAAGCATGGCCATGTCTTTTACTTGGGTGTTCTTGCTGCACTTAGGCAGGTGCATGAACTGTGCAGGTACAAGCAGGCACTACTTTCCGAAGGTTCTTGGTGCTCCCGAGCCTGGTCCATGTTCCAAGCCCTGACCTCTGGCGCTAGATCCATGCCCCAATCAGTGGGCTCGGCCTTGAGAGATTTTGTTACAGGAGAAATAATGGGCTATGGCATGTTATGCGTCAACGGTACAAATCACAGAGGGCCCAGCTTGTTCCAGAAAACTCGAAAGATACCAGATGTAAAGCAACGAAGCAACCTTGAGAACATGGGAGAACCTACTGTGGGCAAACCCCGTTTCTCCCCGCCCACCGTCCAGTCCTTTGTTTCGCCACAATCGTAGTTTTGACTTTGGGGTTGGCACAGAGTGCAAGGTTGCCAGCATCGTAGGAGAAAGTGGCTGGACGCCGGCCAGAAGAGTCATGTTACCAATAGCAACAAGAAAATTTTGTCATTCACGCCCCCACCCTGAGCCCCATCCGTCCTCAATCTGCATGAGATCATAGAGCTTTCTGACCCTGGCACAGAGAGAGGGGATGAAAAGGGTGGAGCTTGCCCTGGTGTCATCTTTGCCATGCGCTGCCTGGTGCCATGTACTCCTAGGTGTCAGAAGCCCGCACACACAAGAAGTCCCAAGCATGTGCCTGCAGTCCTTCTAATCACGTGCTGGGAAGTCTTACGTTCCTGCATGTTACCGCCAAACCTGAAAATCCATTTAAAAAAAAGAAGTCCTATTGTTTCTCTGCTGCAACATGGCCCTTCCAAGCCAGTCTTTGATGAACATGAAAAGGGGGGCCAGTATATGCTGGAACATAAGAGACTGCATGTGGTCCCAGTGAAACTTGTTTGGGAATCCTCGCCCCTACCAACAAAGCATGAATTGTCAGAGCGCATCTGTAAATCCCTCCCAGCATCATCCAACATGTGATATACTGCAGCGGCATCATACCTTGGAATCTGCAAGCGAAGTGAGTATGTACTAAAGTGACATGGGCCCCTCAAATCCCAGCAGCGCGACGATGTGACCGCATGACGCAGCAGTGCCTCAGTCATGCACCACAGATTCTAGCCTCAGCGAGCCTCTTGCCACCACAACTGAGAGAATTACTTGCGCAATGTCGCGCGCAGCAGTTTGAAAACACACATGCCGAAATTAAGTCTGCATTGTTTTTCCGCTTCTTTGAACATGTGTGTTGTACCTACTTTTTCGCATGGCTCCATGGCCCCAATGCTGGAAGTCGAAATAATTTGCGCTGATGCGACACCTGAGCAGATTCATAAAAGCAGTTTCATCTTCGGGTGGAGTGCGGAAGAAAGTCCATCTTTCCGTTGAGAAAGATTCCTTTCCTGCATGCATGGCAGGAAGCGGTGTGCTGGATGGAAGTGGAGGGGTGGGGTTGGGCGGGAGGGGCGTTCACTTGGGCTTTCCGAAAAGGACAACCTGGAGAGTTCTCATTAGCTAAAAGTGATCCGAAATCTTTTCCACAAAGTAGATGCAAGTAATTACTGCACGATGAATGAAACTGCAGATGTTGCACGCAACCTTTGTATTGACGCGTGTCTGGTCCCTTTCCCATCTGTATTAGTCCATACATAGGTTGTGTGAGAGACAACCCGTTGCAAGCAGCCAAGTGTGCCGGAACGCCCGCAAGGACAAATGTGGGATATGCTTTCATCAACTTCCTCACGTCAACCGCCTTCGGCCTACAACTGTCTTTTGCAGCTTCGATGCTTTTGTATCGCCTGGCATGCAGCAATTCAGCTTCACGCAATTGTAGCTGCCTTATCAGGACCTGGAGCGTTTCATGGTGGAGTTTGCTGGTTATCTGTTTCAGAATCACTCAAGCTGTCTCCCCAGATTTGGTGGCGCTCCACACTTGCAGCACGTTCCTGCGCAGTCACATGTGATACTTTTGGGTGATGCATTGCTGCGTATACTGCTTGAGGTCAAAAGGTTGCCAGAGTTTCTTTGGCACACATCCAGGGCTTCATTGAGAACATACGACACTTCTCAAACCGCAATGCTCTCAGTTTCAGCTAGATGAAGTTTGTACGTTGCTCATCCTTCTCACAGTTTGGAGGTGCTGTTTCGCAATCACGAAACAGCCAATACAGGCACCGTTGGCACATGCTGCAAGCAAACATGGGTTGGTTTCTTCTGAACAGGCCGATTGTCATCCACCGTGGCGTTCGCATGGACATCTCGGAGGCGTGATAATTAATTCTAACCAAGCTCACGCATTCAACGGCCCTGGCCCTGGCCAAGACTGGAGGCATATGACTTGTTGTGCTCTGTCCAAGCTGGACAGCTGGTAGCTGAGCTTCAGGCCAAGGCTTCCTTGTAATTTTTGGCAAGTTTAGCTTCAGAGTTTTCGTTGTATCTCACACTCAAATGAGGTCGTCCCATGCTCTTGCCCCAGTTTCAGTCAAGCAGACACAATCGACACAATCTCACCTAAACTTACAATCCGCAATTGTTTGTGACTGCAGGATGACTCCACCAAAGTACCGCTACCTCCAGGCCAAAGCCTTATAGGGCCTCACGGAGACAGCTTTGCACGGAGAGTCTGCAATTTTTCTACCTTGCCTTGCGGAGTTGTCAGACAGTCCAGTCGCCAACCCTTGCAGAAAGGCTAGCTCACCGTTGTTGTCCTGCCGCATTCGAGGCAGTCTGGCAGTTCAAGAGCCGCCAGGCCTTTCGCATCCTGGCCTTGAAGAAGGGAGAGCAGAGGGAGAGCAGAGGGCACATGGAAGGAAGAAGTTGAACTGGCAGGGAAGTTTTGAAGAAGAAGAGGTAGGAAGTAATCAGCACCCATACGCTTTGGCACCCCGGCCTGTTTGCCATCCGACTCAACCAGTGCCCTCCCAAATTTTGTTCAACTAGTCGATACTCGCAGACTTGGTCATGCACTGCCGGGTGGGCTGGATGTTGCTCAGTGGATGGACCCACGCCGCACAGAAGTGTGGTTTGAAATCCAAGGGACTCTCTTCCATCCATTTTGCCACAGTTGACCACAACCGAGACGACCAGCACGGAGGACCGCCACAAGTTGAAGAGCGGCTATGGGAAATGCCTTCAGGGGTCAGACATGAGTAACTGACGAGTACCATGTTTACGGCCCAAAGGAGCAAATACTTTTCAGGACTACGCTGGCCGCTATTCTGAGGCAAAGAAAGGCCAGCCCATCGCAGCATGTGTGTAAGCCTGATCTTGGAATTTTCTGGAAGACTCAAACGATCCACTTACTCGCAGTCATTTCGTAGCCTGCTGGCAAGGCTTCGAGGAGGCCGTGTCCATGCTTCTGAGGCTGGATGCACCTGTAGTATGACAATATGCTGGCAGTCAAGTCATGTCTTGCCCCTACTCCGAAGCGCAAGTTGGGTCAAAGGCGGCCCACTTGGCATGCTGCCAGCTTGACAGGTCTTCATGTTCTGGACGCGAACCAGAGGCTGTGGGACAAGGGCAGCGCAAGACATGTCCAGGTCTCTAAAAACTGTCCTTGTGAGGCAGCAGAGCGGCCAGAATTGCTTCGGCCTCAGGAGGTCAACTAGGAGTAAATACCAGGGCTACAGAAATAGGCTTAAACAGCTGGGTCCCCCTTTTCCGCATGCTCAGCTGTAGTACCAACGAGAATTCTGGCTGGTAGAGTCAAAGTTGTTTGCCAGCTATTCATGCCGCAAGCAAGATGGATATTCGTAGCATGTTTATGGAATCCTTTTTTTTGAGGAGTTAATTTTGTTGTGTTTAGTTAGCTTGTTTTTGTTTTTTGGATCCTGCCTCTTGTTTTCTGCTTCTGGCTCCTTTCCCTGGTTCTGGTTGCAGCTTTTTGCTTTCTGTTTTTTGCTTTCTGCTTTGTGCTTTCTGCTTGTTTTGCCTTCTGTTTGTTGCTTTCCGCTGTTTGTTGTTTTGATTTATGTTTCCTGTTTTCTGCGTTTTGCTTCTGCATTTTGCGTCTGCTTGTTGCTTCCTGTTTCTTGCTGCCTACGGTCCGCTTGCTGCTTTCAGCTTTTTGCTTTGTGCCTCCACTGTGCTGCTTTTAATTTCCTCTTGCTTGCTGACTAAACTCTGCTTCCTGCTGGATGCGTTTCGCCGTTTGTTTCTTCCTTTCCGTTTCTTGTTTGATATGTTGTCTTTTTTGGCTTCTTGGCTCTCTACGGTCATGAGCACTTGAACTTCTCGCATCCAGAATGCCATTTGAGACGCCACAAACTAAAACAAAGCTGCCACTAGCCGGGGGGTTGCTGTGGTAGATGGGGGTGGGTGCACCGCAACCACCCAACACAGGGTAGCTTCTGCGTCCTACTTTGGCTTGCCGCAGAGCAATGCAGTCTCAGCAAAGCTGCCACGAGCGGAAAGCGATCAATGCTTACGGCAAAAAAATGTCATCGCCGTGCATGCAGCAGGGCAAGGTTGTGCGGATCATTTTGTTTGCAACTGGGGGAGGGGGGGCTGCGCTCAACCCCCCGCTTTTGGGAAGACATCCGCGCTTACGGTAAATCAAATAATGTTATCACCATGTTTGCAGTACGGGTTTGTTGTGCTGATCATTTTGTGTGCAAGTGGGGGGGCTGCCCCTCCACCAACCCGCCGCTTCTTTAAAGCCATACATGCTTGCAACTTTCAAAAAAGCACAAGCATCATGTCATTACCATGTTTGCCGTAAGGGATGATTTTGCGGATCAGCTTGTTTGCAAATGCGGGGGGCCCACCCAACACCCCCGCTTTTTTGAAGTCATCCATGCTTAAAAAATCAAGTCATCGCCATGTTTGCAATAGGGCAAGGTTGTTCGGATGGGGAGGCTGCGCCCCCTCCAACCCCCCGCTTGGTTGAAGCCATCATTGCTTTCGGTGTATAAGAACATGTCATCGCCATGTGTCCCGTGTGGTAAGGCAGGATTATGCGGATCATATTGTGCGAGAAGGGACGCTGCGCCATCCAAGCGTGCAAATGAAAATCTCTCTAAATGCTGCAACTCGCAGTGTCTACGTTCTTTGCAAAGCTCCGAATGTTGTCATTTACAACATTCATCGGCAAACCCCCCAAATTCACAGCTGGCGTGCTGTGATTTACGGCATCTGCAAGCTCTAAAGAATTCCAAATGCTGTCGTTTATCGTATTTGCAAGCTCTAAAAAGCTTCACATACTGTAGTCTTGTCTACAAACTCTAGATGAGCTCCACATGCTATAGTTTACAGTGTTTGCAATTTCTAGATGAGCTCCCAACGCTGTAATGAAAAATTTGCAGCCTCTGCTCCAGACAAAATGCTGCAAATTGCATTGCCCGGACTGAAACAATCCAAGAGGATCTAAGGGTCCAAAAGCGACGGCAGTTACGAGGATCGCGACCCGACCCCCACAATCCCCGTGACGGTTGACACTTTTCAAAATCCAATCTCACATTTGTAGTTAAAAATGGAGCTTTGGCGTGGAGCTTCCTGACATTTGCCCTCCAAAAGGATAAAACAAAACCTCGCAAAAAAAAAAGACAACATAGATTCACCAAACAATTAGTGACCCCATTTTTATAGGCAGAAGGCGTGCGATACCTCGCTTTGCGGCGAGGCGCCAGAAGCTTTGCTGTGGAGCAGAGTCCTGAAATCGGCCTTGAGTGGGTCGTTTACGTGGTTAGTTGGTGAGTCATCCCCCAGTCGATTGACCAGTCGGTTGGTCTCACAGTTGATTGTCGTATGTATCGTGGGTATGTTGGTCGTCCCGTACTGTACTGTAGTAGGTAAGTTGGCCTAAACACCCTCCAAAAACTTCCGTGCCAAGCGCTCCTGTTGCGGCGTTTCGGCACGGTACCTGTTTGAGCATTCAACTCCAAATCCGTGTTTTCGGGTGTTGTCAATTGGGCGGGGCGAGGGGGTTCGGCTGGTCGGAACAGGCTGGGGTGGGTCTCCCACGAATCGTGCTGGGAAGAGGGAGGGTTCTTACTCTGCTAGTCTCCGGACCTGGATCGAAACGCCCCAGGCCTCCGGCCTCGGCGGATTCCATATCGTGCTTAAGCATCTTCCTCAAGTATTGCAGTACTGCCGTGCCCAACATCCGCAGTGAAATTGGCGCACCACGTTGGCTGCTCCTCCCCAACGCCCGCCTTCGCTTCTTTGAAGCCGCTGCATGCGTGCCTCACAAAGCAGTAAACGGCGGGATCATCCGATCGTCCCGTGTCAACAAATGGGGGGTTCAAGGCATGTGCGCTGGATGGCACGGCAGAGAGAGAGAGAGAGAGAGCATCCTCATCACCAACACCTGGAAGCGACAATCAACACAACAGTGACCAACACAGCCAACAACCACCACAGACACCACAAGCACACCAAAGCGCCGAAGCATGCCAAGCCACACCCAACAATGCCAACACGCAATCCAATACGCAACAACCACAGACACCACCATCACAAGCCACAGCCCAAGACGAGCAACGCCAAAGTGGGCAACCACAAGCAGAGACATGGGCACCGGCAGGTGCTCCAAGAATCGTCCCAGACTGGGAGCGTGACTTTGCCAACAGACTAGCCTACATCCATGCAACGCGCAGACTGCATCCGGCAGGAGCGCGATCACAAGCAACGGCACCCACTGGCCAACTGGACACAAGCAACACACCTCCCCAACCACCACAACTCAGAAGCATCAACATCGCGGGCGATGAGCTCCCCACATCACAGACAGCCTGGCAACTCACCAGGTTGGGTCACTTGCAATTCCTGCTAGAACTGTATCAAGCACAGCAGGCGACCACATTCTACCACGACTTTGATGCAAGCACCCACCAGGATACATCGCAAACACCAACACACCCACAGCAGTCGCCAACAACACTAGCCCATACCCACCAAACAGAGAATGCACAAACACAACCACAAACACAACCACACCTGCAGCAGGAAGCAGAAGCAGCGGATGCGGCGACGCGAAGCAACCAAGAAGCAGCAGGACGAGACGACCCAACAGACGAGACGACGCACATGCAGAAATATCTGCAAAAACAGGCTACAACGGCACAGTCACACCAAGACAAGACACAGGAGCCGGCAGAGGCAGACACAACGGAGAAGCAGCCCAGTCAGGGGCCCACCAACAAGGGGGCAGCACAACAGCAGCAGCAACACCAGAAGCCAGACAGCCAACAACCGGGCCAACACATGCAGACGACAAGGCCAACAGCAGTCAAAGCCAAGCCGCAAACAAAAAGCACCGAAACCTGCCATCAGCCAACACACCCATTACCACCACCACAAGATCCAAGTAGCAGCAGCAGCCAGGAGAGACCAATCACAAGCCAAACTCACCACCACACCCGCTTTGTCACCATCCTGGGCAACGAACCACCGTTCACCGCCCTCCAGCATGGCCTGCCTGTACTGAGAGACCTTTTGAGCTACCAGGTCAGGGCCCAAGCCAACACACAACAACCACCACAACAAACGGCCCCACCACCCCTACCACCACCCACATACGAGGAGCTGCAACTGTCCTATCAGATAGCCCAAGCCCTCACCACACAAATACAACGCATTACAGCCAGAATTCTCCATACACACGCAGGTGGACAGCCGAACAGAACACATCACCACAATGATGTCATAACAATAGACTCACACGAGTCAGAGACCCCTGCAGAACCTGACACACAGCCACAGCAGGAGGTGAGTCAGCAGCAGCAGCAGCAGCAGCAAAGCAGCCAAACAGCAACACAGCCATGGTCGAGGCCAACACAACAGGGTGAAGAACCAGCACCACAAGCAAGCATGGACCAACAACAGCAGCAGCGATCGAGCGCAACGGATGGAACAGAGCTTGGACAACAGCTGCAGCAACCACCACCACACCAGCCGTCCCCTTCTTCTCGCACACTACCAACCACCGTACAACAGCAACAACGACCATGGTGGGTGCTAGGCATACATACAGGCGGAACGGGCCAACCAGAGCACAACACAGAAGCAGACACAAGTGCAAAGCCAACCATCACCAGTCAGATGAACCATCACACCACGCCAAGCAAACTACCAGCGATGCCGACCGACAGCACCAGCGCAACACCACAAAACCCGCCACAGCCTTGGTGGGTCTTGGGGCAACACCAGACACTACAGTCGCACAGGCAGAGAAGCAGATCACCCAGAACCAAGCAAGACATTTTTCTTGCCCCGCTTGGACCGTCACCACCAATGACGCAAGCCGACACACAAGAAGAAGGCGAGCTGAAGCAAATGGAGACGGACGGCAACGAAGGCAAGGACCACGACACCAACAACGACAAGGAGGGCAAGGAGCATCGAAACAGGGAGTGGGAGCTACGACAAGAACTCCTGAGCAAGGTGACAATGTATTTTAAGGTTTCACACCTCAACAGGATAAGCCAACTGCACAGAACAGTCACCCTCAAATAGAAGAACTGCTTAGAAATTGGTCCCCCAGAACATAGTTTTGGCAACATCCTGGAAAACTCAACATGACCGTCATGCAAACTAGGTCAAGATAACAACTAAGACAGGGGAAACAATTGCAACAGCTGTCTGCACAGTTACCCCAGTAATGATGTGAGACCACATGACCTTGTTCTTGCCAAACAAAGACGGGCACACAAAGTAGGGCATGTAGAGAGTCCCCCGAAACAAACTTGTAGCCAAAGGGAAAGAGATTACTCTCCTTTCATAATGTCTAAAAGCTGGAGGGGGCAACTCAGTGTCTAGCCTGCAGTGATACCAACTCGCATGGCAGTTTAAACAAGCCCTTGCCTCACCCAAGTCAATCCTTTGTTCAGCCGGCCCTCGAGTATTGAACTCACAGTAGGAGTAGGGGAGGCAATTGTGGCAAATTCTCACCCCGCAAGGAAACGTCTTACGGGTACTCCTCAGAGAAAGTGCAAAGTCATGTTCAGAGTAAATACCGGTGGGTCCCCTAGAACAACAACCCTTACTCTGAAGACAGGAGGGGTGTGAACCAAGTCTGCCCAACACGGCCTGGGCATCGAAGCCCGGAGGTGAGATCTTTCTCGCCTCCACAGCCCGAACGAAAGAAAGAAAGAAAACATCCTCATATATCCAGCTAGTTACCCCAAGTTTTGGCCCTTTGTTGCCCCAAACATAAAATCCCAGCACGTTTGAACACTGAGGGGTAGAAAGGACAGAACAGCCCAACACGGGCTGGGCAGTGACGCCCGGAGAGGGGGGTCTACCCCTTCTCCATAGCCTGAACGAAAGAAAGAAAGAAAGAAAGAAAGCAGTCCTTCGGGCGAAATGTGTTTGAGTGTGGTTCGTGCAGAGATGCTCGGGGACGAAGGTTTCACCTTGTGAGGATACAGCTTACAAGCAACAGCCAAGAGAATGGGCAAGACCCAAGAAATCCTGTTTAGTTAGGGGCCCAAACGACTGCTTAAAATTTAGAGCCCATTCTCGGGCGATGAGGGGACATGTAATCCAGTATGCCCAACACGGGCTGGGCGGCGAAGCCCGGAGGTGGGAGAAATCCCGCCTCCATTGCCTGAATGAAAGAAAGAAAGAAAGGTTGCCCCAGCCCCTCTCTTGTAGAGGGGTAGACCAGTGAGAAGAAGAAGAAGAAGGCATTTGTCCCCCACCTCCATAGCGTGAACGAAAGAAAGAAAGAAAGGCATGTGCGCCTTTCGCCGCTGTGGAAGGCGTTGCACTTCTGCGGAAGGGCCGGGTAGGGAGATGGGGCAGAAGGGGTATTGCATCCGAAGCACTGCGTTTTTCTGTTTCAGTTATTTTTCAGGCGAGGCTTCTCTGCGATTGGCGTTTGGAAAGCGTCTCCCTTTTGCAGTGTCTTGTGCGCATCAACAGGCCAAAGAGCTACCACTTGCAGCATTTCGCGTCTTCGGGACATGGGCAATTCTTTTGGCGACGTTGTTTTCCGTAATTCTTGGCGCTTTGCCAAGAGCTGCGGTATTTGTGCTTGGTTGGACAGCGCGTTGTTTTTGGGGATTTTCCACAACGTCTACCCACTTAATTTTACTGTCCTTCAACAGTTGACAATGCCTAATCACGCGGAGTTCCACTGATGATTTGTCACTTATGGCTGCACATTGGGCTTAGGGTGAGGATCTGGAATTTAAAGCTTCCCCAAAACGGTCTCAGCTTCGTGTTGCTGCTTCTTTTTGTTCATTGCCTTGACACGACCCTTCATTCCTAGTGCCAAAGCGCTCAAAGGCAGTCATGGTTTAAAGGGCTCAAAGTCTAACAAGGGTAGTGTGGTGTTGTATGGTCCTGGATGTGTGCTGCTGGTTATGTTTGCGCTGAAGAAATTGCATGGCGCTTGCAACTTTGCGTCGTGCTATTCAGGTTTTGTTTTTTGGAAGAAGCGTGCATGTCACGAGCATGGTGGCTGGCGTTGACACTCTCGGCTGCGATGGTTCTCCGACTGCCTTGCATTTGTGTAGAATGATACATGCAGCCCAGTGAATTTTTCACCTCGCAACGTCAACAGGATCCGCTGCTCCAGGTTTTTTTTGCTATGAAGACCGAAATGAGTCCCTGGAACTTGCAAATCCCAAATTTACCTGTTTGCCAGTATGTTCCACCTTTCCTCCATGTACTGCGGAAACCTTCAGATGTTGTTCTACATAGTAGCGTTTCGGGACTAAATCACTGCGCACTGCAACAACTGTCCGAACAGATCCGCGTCGAATCGCCCCCCCCCAAAAATCTCTGTAGCCTCTGCCTTCATGTGCAACGCCCGATACATGTTGAGTTGGATTGTCCCAAAACTCAAACTAACGTCAACGCCTTTACGAACCACAAAGAAAAGCTCTTTACTTGAAAGCTTGAAAGCTGCACCAGCTGACGAGCGAAATCGGTTTGTGGTTGCCGTAGTATTCCAGTACAGGGATTGAGTGGGCTTACTAAGTTTGATCGTCTTATCAGTCTGAGTGCTTTCAGTCATCATATTGGCCGTACTATGTAATCTTATTCTATTTGCAGGAGTCACGGGTGCTACTGCCCTTGCAAGTCGGTCCGACGACTTACTTGTTTTAGTGCCAGGATGGCTTCTGAACTGCACCAGGTGAGGATGCGGTATTGGTGCACGGGTGTAGCACTTTCCGACTACCTTTGGCCACCAGTACTGATTACCCCCCCTGCATGCACGCAGCTATGCGCAACTGGGACCCGGAACACTAACTTGCAGACGAGGGTGTAGCCTCACATGCAGTGCTGCCTGGGAATGTCGCTCTGATCCGGTCACCGCCAGTTCCGTCATTATTTGCATGGAAACAAACAGCAAAGCCCCAAGAAATGCGTCCAAAGACCAGGAAGGCAAACAACAAATGAACTGGCTCCAAAGAGAACACCGCAAGCAGCACTGGGGCAGATTGACGGCTGAACCGATGAAGTTCAGAAAACTGGCAGGAACACGTTCCTAGATGCTGGGCACGAAATATGCAAACCATATGGGGTTATGTTGTTAAAGAAGGCGCAGCCGCAAAGAAGCTGACCGCAAACGTTTAACCGCATGCTCCGGAGGAGTTGTCCGCGTTCCGAACCATCAGGATGCACACGCTGCGAAACGGGGCGCCACGAAGAAAACTGCAGGAAAAGCACGGCAAGGACTGGCAGCGAGAAAATTCCACCACGAAGAGGCTGACCGCGGACCTTTGAGACAACTACTCTGCAGTGAGAAAGTCTCTCCTTGAGATTGACAGTGGACCATGGACACACGCTGTATCTGTGAAGCAGCAGGGCCACAGAAAGCCGAACGCCGCCAATTGAGATACAACTGCTTTGAGCATGGAGAAGTTGCCTGGAAGTACAGATGCGCCGCTGGAGGGGAATTTGCTATTGCAAAGAAGTTGACCGTGCAACGCTGGGGACCAGCGCAAGCAAACTTGCAAGTACAGATCCCAGTCAAACACGCAAGCCAAAGCACGAGCAAAGTGCGGGGCACTTGATACAGGGTAGGGCTTGTGGCCCAAGTGACCTCCGTACGCATCCCAAAGGACTCATGGTGTGGAGTCCACCCTCTGAGGGGCTTTGAGGCTGAAGCTACTCTTCAATTTGTAAAATAAGCTCTTGAAGTTCTGAGATCACAGGCCCTATCCCCTAAGCCCCTAAGCCTGATCGATGCAAACATTCCACAAGTGCGCTGTCACTCCCAGCTGTCCTTGGCGCATGCAGTACCTTCTGAGTGTTGAAAGCTGCTTGGGCTCCTAGGGAAGACGACGAACGCACAGAAGGCTCCCACAGTCAGCCAGGCAACGGAAGGGCTGCAATGCTATCCAAACATGTGTACGAGCTCCAGTTTTTTGGCGCTTAGGTGAAGGGGCATGGGTTGGTCCATGTGTCGAGTGTCAGGCTCACCGCGGCGAAGCTTTCAGAGTGCCTGTCCCAGCTTAGCAGCTAAGCATCTGCTAGTTGACAATTACAGCAATGGTCCAGGCACCATGCACCAATTCTGATGTATAAACGAGTTCACAGGGTCCAGCAAATGTGTCAGACGATGAGGCGTGCCTGGCGCGAAGCCCAACTTTCCTGTGCCCATCTTCCTCGGGGAGACCCCTCAAGGCCGACGAGATTTGGAGAGCAGGGGGGGGAGGGAGGGGTGGGGGGGAGGGGGGCTGGTTCTCAAGCGTCCATGGCAAGAAGACTTGAAGGTGGACCGGAAGCTGGCGATCTGGCAACACCTCGCACGAACAGGACACTCCGATTTCCGCTGGTGTCTTTGTTTCTGACTGGTGGCCATAAATGACGCGATCACATCTGGCTATGCGGTGGTGCAGTTCTTACAGGGGAGGGTAGGAGGGAACAAGCCCAGTGCATCTGCGCTTTCACGCCATGCAGGACCTTGTTTGTGCATGGCCGATTCTCGGCCTGAGTGGAGGAGGGCCTGGATGACAAGTCCCTACACGTCTCTTGGGGACCTTATCGCAAGATACTGTGCGGCAGATGAGTCGTGTGAGAGCCCCGCTGCTCCGGGAAAATTAGCAATTGTACCCCGATCGGTCCTTGTTTGCTCCGGTTTGCTGTCATGCTCCATGGCATGCATTGCCGTTGACTTCCAGCTACTCTCTTGGCGGTAGGGTATCTGTGCTGGTCTGAGAGCATTTGAGGGAGAGCTAGTTAGAGAAGCCTGGGCTTGGTTACCTTTGTCTTTTGCACACTATTGCGCCACATCCCATCGGTTGTCCTGCACTATTCAGGGATCTCATGATGGAGAGGTATGCAACTGTCTTGGTGGACGCAGCTGCAGGGGTGGTAGTGAGGTAAAACATCAACTGATGCCAGATTGGAGGGTAAAGGCCCATGTAAGAAACAAAGACCAGCAAGTGCCCTCACGCAAGCAAATCTGATTCCGAATCCGAAATCTGGACCGGAGCTCACCTCCTGGATACCTGGACGGGGTGACTGGGCACTGCAGATGATAGGTAAGGACGAGCAATATGCACAAGAAAAGTTTTGTTGCACCCTTGTCACCCGTTCCTTCTCTCACAGTTCTTGAGGGGAAGCTGGCTTGCGGCTCCTCATCGCACCCACATGGCCATCCGTATTGAGCCATGGGACTTGGGTAACATCCAAGTACTGGCCGTCACTTGCCAGTGCTGCAGTATCTGGCATGAATGCTGCTTCGTGTTCTGTTCCGCTGAAATGCTGTGGCACACTATGCAAAATCATCAATACAAAGCTAAAAAGATTGTACACTTCTGTGGAATGCTCGCTCTTGTACCTGCAAGCTTGCTAGTTTGCTGGCAACATAGGAATTCGCCATAGACTGACGCAAAGTGGCTTCCACGGATGACTGTGGATGCGCTTGCAGCTCCTTGCTGGTGTGGCAGTTTCAATCCTCGATCGACGAGGCGGTGCAAGGCAGGGAATGCCATCACGGCTTTCCTTGGAAAGCCTCGATTCTCTTCGTAAGGTCCGATTTAAAATGAGAAAGCATGAAAACATCACACTGCCTTTACGAAGGCTTGCGAATCACGTGCTGCTGCCTGCTGCGGGACACTTGACATGTAAGCACCAGATCCACTGATTTTGTGATCAGCTTTGCTTGTTCCACACGCTGTCATCAGGCGGCGGCAAGTGGTTGATTTGAGCTGGCAAGCAAGGTCCCAGATGAAAAGACATCAGCATGCCAAACATTTGTATCACCATCAAGTGGTCCGGCCAAAATTCTTTTTGCGCAAAGCTATCACGCAACCTCAAGAGATAGACTGATCTCGGTGCCTTGGCCATGCTCAAATTTGTCACACGTGCCGGGCAGGGCCGACGGAGCTAAGGGGCCTTCTATTAGGTACGCATGGGCCTTGATGAGGTTCCTTTAAAAATCACGGACCTGCCTGGCTCGAGCTACTTGGCCCGACTCGGGGTTACGAAGGCATTGCGGGGTTTCAGTTGGATCGCATCCCGCACCATCTTCCTTGCAGTGTGCAGAATGTGCCGCTGCACTTCTTCCACATTCGATCCAACCTTTTTGCAAAGTAAAGCTTGCATGTGAAGTGAGCAAATGACATTGTGTACTGTTGCACTTCGACCTCTGTGTGTATTCCGGATTGCTGTTCCAGCTGCTGCGTGGTCAGGGCACAGGTTCAGCCAATGCCGGACACAACCAGTACATGCTGGGAATCGAAAACATGGTTCTTGTCTGTGTGTCATCTCTAGAGTGGAAGTGCACCGAGGGGACGCAGGCCATGGCTTGCGGCCCATCTAGTTCCGCAACAGCTTCACTTCGCATGGAGAAAGGCATTTTGTCCCGGAGCTCAACCAAATGGACTTATCCGATGCTGGTGTGAATTTACCCTTCAGTCGCAGTAATTCAGTCATCATGTGAACTCCGGCTGGACTCAGTGCACACTGGCGCCACAGCGCGCTCATAGGCAAATCGCAACCCAGCGTGCCTACCAGCTTGCAGCTTGCGAAGCCTCCGCAGATTTCTGAAGTGCCGTGCAGAGCCAACCCCAGTAAGTTTCGAATGTCATCTTTTGTTGTCATGTCGTGCTAGCGGGTGTAGCCTGCGTTCTGCATTCACATGTGTCATCAGGCATCTACCCTATTCCCTGCACTTTTTCTATCCCAAGTAGCTGAGCAGTTCACTATGGAGTAGCAGCTTCTCACACTCGGGCATGTTTTGGGCAGGAGGGTGCACTAAAGTTTGTCAGCTTCTGCCCCATTGTATGTCATACCTTGCAGCTTTCCATTTGCAATCCTTGTAGCAGCAGTTTCAGCATCAAAATCGAAAGCGGAGACTTTTACTTTGTTGCTCTGATTTTGCTTGGGGAATTGCCGCATCTCGACTTGCAGACGCAGCGGAGGCGAGCTGCATGCAAAAAGGCAGCCTTCCTGCAGTTCCAATACGTTCGAAGTAGTTTCCAGGTTTTCTCCAGGTCTCCCCGTTGCTGGCCAAACATTGCATGGGTGTTTTCTATGATGAGCTGTTCGCCGAAGTGTTCCACTGCGCAGACGTTGAAGATCATACACCGCACGGCATACTCCATGGACATCACTTTGGTTTCTGGATTGAAGCAGAGGCAGGAACACCACGCTTCAGGTTTGTCCCGGTATTTTGATCTCTTTCTCTAGGAGAATCCAGCTATCTGCAAGAGTCAGGCACTGGTAGTTGAAAGTTCAGATCCAAGCAGATCTCACCTGTACCCAGTTTTCGTCACACCTCACCTTTGTAATCCATATGCAAGCCTTGTCAGCCGTGCTAAGCCGTGCTTGCAGAGAGGCTTTGCACAGAGCAGCTATGGAGATCCCATTGTTCGATCCGACGCCTGACCTGTCCAGCACAATGTCCAGAATCACATGGGACTTAGCCTTACTTTTGCCATGCTGTGCCATGTTCAAGGGTTGGGACCTGGGATATGGCAACATTCCTAACGTGTACTGGTGCTTCGGCTTTCTCTGAGGCTTTTCATGCAGAAGCTCAGCATGCACGGAGAAATGGGCATAGAAGCCCAAGCTGAAGGCGAATGGAGAAACGACCTAGAAAATTACTGTAGCACAAACTGTCCAGCATAGTGGAGGTTGGTGGAAATCAAAGCCGATACCGCAAAATTGAACACGCTGCCTCCAGCATGCATGCACGCATGTGAGCATTCTTCTAAGGGTCGACCCGCTTTGCCTTGACGTCCGATAGCTATAATGTGTTTTGGGGCCGAATCATTCGGGATCAAGGGTAACGATTGATTTTGGGGCCCTAAAGCATGGGAAAGATTCTCAACTCTCCCTTCTGAAGCAATCCAAAGGGACCGTCAAAAACCGTGGGAGGATGAGGGCCTTTATTGAGGAACCGTAATTTATACTTCTTGGGGGCCCTATTGTTTGCGGGGGGGGGGGGCAACACTAAAGCAGGCCCCACATTATATTCGGGCTTTTACTTGTATCAAGGTGACCATTCCAGATGCTTTTGAAGGTTATGAAAGTTTCGCGAAAGTAGACGCGAAAGGAGACGCCTTGGTCGCGAAAGTTCAAGAACAAGCAATACATGATTCAGTCATTTCTCAGGGCTGAAGGCTGTAATCCATTCTCAGTAGGTCCCGTCCCTCCCACCACAAAACCAAGGCCCCAACTTCAGCATGATTACTTGCGGGCTCCAGGCCGCGATGCATTGCGGAAATATGAAGGGATTTCCTTATTATTCAACCCCCCCAAAACAAGTAACGAAATCCAACGAATGAAAACAAGGTGTCCCCCAACGAAGTTTGGGAAAGTTGTTTGCGAGAGTATCCTGAAGAAGGAATTCGAAAGGCAGGACTCTTGCACCCAATTCACAGCATGCCATTGTTCCGTTTCTGCCATGGGTATTATTCTGTACGTGGCACACAAGTTCTCTATTCCGAACGCCTTTGTGGTTGCTATACGCTGTCTCTGACATGACTCGTCCATGATGTGTGAATGTTTCACAATTTGCTAAGGCTCTTAGGGTTTCCAACCTACAAGCTTTCGCTTCGGCTTTCGTGACTCTCTCGTGAGACTTTCACGCCATTTCCGACAAAACCCAGGAACCTGGACTCTCTGAGTTGTCCCCTCAAAAGGGCTATATGCCAATATCGCAAGGAGGTAGGACACGAGGCAGATTTATTGGGGCTTATTTATGATCCTTTTGCTGGAGGCATCGTGCAGGATGGAAGCTGGAGCACTGTAATCGTAGAGCAAAAAAAAATGAGACCCTCCCTCGGACCTTTAACGTTGGAGGAATGGACAGAAATACAGGGGAGGGCTAGCCACATAACTGACAGCAGAGGCAGGAGGATGGACCAAACATTATCAATATTAACGTACGACCGTGCTCAGACTATCTACAGTGGCCTACAGGTGGTTCAGCTGCTGCACGACCTCTAGCCGCAACAGACATGTCGGAGCGTGGTCCACGTTTGTAGGGTAAGTGGATACTTCAGAGGAGTGCGGATAACAGTTTCAGCGCTTGTTGCACGAGGGTTCCAATGTTCTAAGGGCCAGACAGACGACACGATTACACTGTCAGCCCAGACCTCGTACTTGCTCTTCATTGCTTGTTGCATCCAAGCAGAAAGCAACAGAGAGCAAGATTTGAAGGTGCCATTGCCGTGGCTATCAAGGACATTCAGCGAGCTTTAGCCTGGTATTGTTTTTGTGTTCAATGGGCAGGCCCACCGTAAGCCTTGAATCGCGGCGGCTAACGATTACTGCCAAGCCAGCTGCCGCGCTCTAAGTAATTTCGGCAGTTTGGTACTGATGCAGTGTTTTCCTGTGGTGTTTTGTGCTCGTAGTTCGCATATCTCACGATTATCATGCCGCGTCTGCGCAGCTGTGCTGAGCAGGTAGCTTGCAGCATGTTGCTTTCTTTCATGGCAGTGTTCCCTCAGCGGCTCCGTGGCAATCAGGCAGCCGATGCAGGAGAGATGATGCTGGACAGCGAGCTGACTGGCGCAGTGTCTACGCAGGACAGCAGCATGCCTTGGACATGTTGGCAATGGATGAGCCTCATGTTTATTCTATCTTCACAGGCTTGGGCTGCCATTCCGCGACATAGGCTTGTAACAGAATCTCCTGGCTTGCGACAATGCTCGTTTGTGGGGCATATCTGCGCCAAGCATTCGTGACGAAGTAACAGGACGGGGGCGAGGGAGGCGGCGACAACACGGCATTTTGATCCACAGCCCTATGGGCTCTGTATGGCTCAGTGAGAGCAGAAGCAAGACAAGCAAGTTGCTGAGAAGTGCTTGGATAGAGCAGAAGGTGCACCACATGCTCCCCAATTCTTGAAGGAGCTTGGGGCTGCACCAAGGAAATCCAAAGATTTCATTGTCACAGCACGCGTGAGCCATATGTTACATAAATTGAATGCAGCGTGCAGAACTAAAGCACCACGCCAAACTACGCGACAGCATGCGACACCATGCTGCACCACGCATCAGATTCAGTCAAATGGCGGCATGCTGGGCTCGCTCCATGAAGGTGTTTGTTATCTGATGTCAGAGGAGAGCTTTTGGAGCTACAGCGATGGCATTCTGAGCCTTGAGCTCGTGAAGCAAACCTGCGAAGGCGATTGAAGCATTTTGTAGCACAGTTGACGTAAACTCACCTCACGCCAGGCGTCACGCCGCGTCTCTTCTGCACTCGGAGCACGTACAGAGTAAAAGACCTTCCACCGACGCTGTTGCGTGTGCCTGCGCAGGTGGTGGCCGTCAGCTGTCCCCAACGGGCGAAAGTGCGCCAGAAGACAAGCCACCTGGCTGCATCCTACATCAGATCCAAGGATAAGACTACTGCAGTTTTGATGATGCTGTGCAGTTTTGATGATGCTGTGCAGACATTGGTTTTGTATTTGCGCGCTCTAGCGGCAGCAACCTGAAAAGCCAGGATTCGCCGCCGCTTGTGCAGAAACTAGATGCCAAAGTTGGCGAGCCTTCCTTGCAAGAGCTTATGGCTACAAGGGTTGCAGCTGACGTTGAAACCAGAAGTGCATTGCAGCCAGGCAAGTCGTGAAGCCCTTAGAGTTCGAAGGCAAAAGCAGCTTTCGATGGTGAGGCGGAAGAGCAAAAGCCTGACCAGTTTTTGTCAGTTTGCAGGCAAAGCAGAAGTATTGGATAAGCAGAAAGGTATCTCAGTGCGCGTGTTTTGTCTGCAGCTTTCTTGGTTCTGCGGGGCTAGCTGGGCTAGCCGAGTGTCCTCCACTGGCTTGGCCCATGTGGGCAGCCCATGGCGCAGGACGGCTTCGCACCAGAGCTGTGAGACGCTGTGAGAACTCGAGTTCTTGTATTTCCTGTTCGAAGCACATCTTGGCCGTTAGCTTGGTGGCAGGAGACGCCATGGTTCAAGATGTTGGGCTCGGGACAGGTGGAATGCCTGCTCGCTAATGGGTTTTGGAAAAGTGACGGCGGCATGCTGCCATGTGAGATGGAACTAGGGCATCTGGCTGTGAGATAAATCATGCACACAGGTCTTCTTCAGTGTTTGTTTTGGTCTTCAGTACGGCAGGGAGTGTCATAAAGCCATGAAGAAAGCATCGCGGCAACAGCGTGAAGTGCAATGCCAGATTTTGCAAACTTGGGCCAGATAGAGCCCTGCGGCCAATTTTGATACTTCGCATGTTTTTGAACGACCACATGATATGCCCTTCGCTGAAGGTACCCAGGTACTGTCTCGTCCGTTGCGCAACCAATAAAATCAGTGCAGTCAATTCTGTTATGCCTTCTGAATGCTGCTCATTTGCAATCCATGTGCCTTTGCCAGGCGAGATCTTGGGCAATGGTCATTCTGGGCATGCTTGTTCTGCTGAGGCCTGCATTTGTGAGAGAAGTTGCACGTATCCTTTGAGACCGGCAAGCACGCTCCACTAGATTCAAGCCTGCGGCGGATTCCCTTTCTTTGAGCTCTTTTTGTGTCTGCTCAGCAGAAGCAAGAATAAGAATGGGAGCATGATGGAACATGGCGCTATTGCTCAAGTCCTTCCGTAGATTCCGTTTGGGCGGGGAACGGACGGGTGGGGTCCAGCGAGGGGACCTCAAAAACATTGCTTCCAAGATCACGAGCAGCCACTACGCATGGCGCCGCAATTGCAGACAAGATGACACCAGACTTGAAATACAAAGCACTTGTTCCCAACGTTCGCTTCAAAGTAGATACGCCCCCCAAACCTGGATGCACAGCACTCTGCCCAAAGCTGCCGCAACAGCCACGCTCAAGACAACCTTGCAAGCGCCAACACACTGCAATCTGGCAGTCCGAAATACACCCCAAGCTACGTGGTGCAGGCTCAACTATCGCAGAGCGTGAGGCTGTTTGTTAAATTCTGTCTTGAACAATCACTTCACCGAAATCCAGGGAGGTGTTTTGTCACGAAATGACCACCAAGGCAGAAAGAAGTAGATAGGCGTGTCCCCGTCAAGCTGCTTGTTCAGTGCCCAGAATGGCGTGGTTTGATACGTAAGTTGGGGCCATAGAGATCCTGGCAGATGGGAGAAACTGAACCAATGTGAGAAGGGGCAGCTACCGAATTGAGATGCCCGCGAGGAGATCTGGTTTCCCCAACTAATTTTTGGGATTTGTTGGGGTCCTTGCCACAGTCACTATGCCTTGTGTAGGTATTCAATTTCCTTTTGTAGTAGCACCTGGTGGGGTATTTGATGACGTGAGTATCTGCATGGCATTTCCGAAGCGGACGAGTGCTGCACGCCCCGGGGTGCAATGCAACTTTCAATTGGGCTACGGGCAGACACCACGTGCAAGCACCACGATATGACAATTCTGCTGGCATAATCGTTTGAGGCAATCTGCCCATTCAAGTCGGAATTCTCTTCTACATTTCTGACGGATGACACCGACATAGAACGGAGGACGTCGTGGGAAGCTTGCAAGCGCAGAGTAAGGGCAGTAATCAGTAGGGAGTGTTGGGATTTTGGGAGCTGCATGGCAGTATATGGCGGTGTTTGGGGGCGGCTTTTAGCTGCATTTTAGCTCTAGGGAATCCGAGTCAGGATAAAAGGTTCCTCAAATATCCTCAAGCTTTGGCTGAAGATTTTGCATGGAAAGTGGACGCAATTTTGGCCAAAGAGTTTGGCTGCAAGGCATGAGCAAGAAAGTGATGCCTCATGCTATTAGACATGGCGGAACTTCATGCTGATTGAAACAAGGAATTCTAGTGACCTGCAAGCTCTGCTGTTGGCCACTGCGGATTACTTCGTGCAAAGTCTCAATCCCAACTTCTCAAGTGAGAAGCAAACAAGTTCATGAGGCGCGCACATACATGCGCAAGTTTATTGTGAGGGCAAGCAACTTCCCGAATTATCAGATCGCTCTTCATGGGTCTATCCGTCTATCCTATTTTTATGCAAGCTGAATGTTCTGGTCAGTATGCATGCCCTCGTAGGGCTTCTTCATTTTGCTGATCCTGGCATCAATGCTATCCTCTTCCATCTTGCCTTCTCTTGCTTGAAATTGTCTATGACATGGAGCACGTGCGGGTTGAGCGGAGATGAGGTGCGTACAGGCGCGCGCCCTGATCACTCTTCATACGGATGCGTGTGGGTTTTGTTTCCATCCCGACGCTGGTCAGATGGATTCAGGGCGATGCCGCGCAGCCTTTTGAGTGAATATGTGACCAATTAATTGGAAAAAACAAGAGTCACCACAAGTCAAGGCCTGCATGCTGGCTGCAACACTTTTCTGGCTCACAACCTTCACCCCAGAATGGATTGACTGCCTCTTTGCTTTGACATGTTGCTGCCATCGCACAAAAGCAAAAGAATCGAGGTTCGACAGCATTCGCCGCCCAAATTCTTCACGACATCAGAATGTTGTACAGCCTTGCGAGGCTTCGATTGATTCTTTTCGCAGCAGCATTGCCGCTGGTCGTGTACTGGTTCGAGGCTCGCCCTATACGCTTGCCAGGATTGAAGGATTTTGCTTGCAAGGTGCAAGCATCGCTCTTGCCTTCTCACGTTTGGCTTCTCCAAGCGAGAGAGGGGATCCTTCAAATTGCCAGGTTCATGTGCCCAGAGCCGAGGCCAGAACAATTTAAGCAATCAGCGGCACAGTCGATGGCGGCCGCCATGCTTAGACATTTTTTATCTGTGAGGACGAAGCCGCTGAAGAGGATGCGGAGCCAGATGAGCCCGAAGGGCACTGCCCTGTCAAGATCTCGCTTCAGTGTGCACTGGAGACAGATATGCCCAGGTCAGCGCAGGAAGAGGAGGACAAGGAGGATAAGTCGGCTGCAATAGCCACTGCGGAATCCTTGAAGCCCGCATCAGCTGTCAGGAGTCCCAAGAGATTTACGACCACGATTTCTGGTCAGACAAGGTCAAGCAAGAAACCTAGAGCATTCCATAGCATCCCTAAGCAGCTTCAGTTTTCCACTTCAATTGCTGAAGCGCTTAAGGCGTGTGCTTACCTACAGAAAGCTGAGGTCAAACAGCAGGGCGCGGACCTTAGACCTGGTGAGCGTCGGAGATGTCACAACAGCCGAGGTTAGTTCTCAATATTTCGCAGTTCATCTTGAAATCGTTGGAGCGCGCACGCGCCCAATTGCCTGTAGCTATGAAATGAACGTGCCAATCCGGCCCCAGAGGCACACCGTACTGGTGCGAACAGGTGTTGAAGCTGCAAAGTGCAGGAGGCACAGAGAGAAGGGGGAAGGCAGCGAGAGAGAGAGAAGAGAGAACCACCTTGCAAGAAGGTGGCATAGCTGTGATTCGGAGGAGGAGGGGGGAAGAGCATTTTGGCTCAAGAGACCGGAAGGACGGAGACCCTCCGCGTGGAGTAAAGATTGCACCTTCCGAAAAGGGGTCCCGGAATCTGAATTATGGACATTTGGCGAGGATTCATTGTCTAGAGGATAATGATCAAGAGCTGGCTAAGCCCCGACTGCGGGAACGGATCCTCCGGGGTACAAAATAACCTCTGTCCTTGATTTGGAGTGGGTTGGTCGTTGGTCTTTGTCCTGGTAGCTTTGTGGATTTTGTGTGGCCTTTGTGCAGTTTCAGGGAAACTAGATTTGTGCCGTGGCTGCTCCCATTCAACAGACCAGAGGGCCCAGTGGAACAGATGGCTACCTGCTACAACGGCAAAAGAAGTATATGGCATCTAGGCAAGAAATCAATCTGCAAGGGAAGTACAGGAAAAAGGAACCTAAAGAAAGGGAGCATGGGGGAGCTCAAGTTCCTCGCGAGGTCGCGAGGTACCAACAGAGATGGAGGACAAGGCATCAAACTAAGGAGCTTGGGAGAAGTTGCCCAAGAGCTGCTGTCGAAGCAGTTAAGCCGGGAGCGGCAAGCGTGCTGCGGTTGAATTGTTAGGACTTCCGTCGAGTCGCGACCACTCATCCTAGGTTCGGTTCGCAGCGATGTAATTGTTCGCAATGTTTGGTGTGTCTATCTAGGGTTAATAAAATTTCCAGGTCTGCCAAAAGGCTCTACACAAGGTCTCTCTAGTCGTAGGCAGAATTTTTGGCAGGCTGTCCTTTCTAGATATCCTTTGCCCTTGGCGTGGGACCGCCTGACTCAAATGTTGAACTCACGGTAGGTATTGCAACTGATATCTGCCACCATGCTTGCATCACACTCATCCCTTCTCTCATACCAATCCCTTATTTCCATCTTGCTGCATAACATTCTCACATCGAAGGGTGATTTCCCTTTGCCACACTTTGAATTGCGACTCTTGTCCGTAATTTTCTGCCACCATTCATCCAAACCTGCTGAAGAAGTCCGTCATCATGTCCATGGTATCGTCCGACCCTGTAACATGGTCTGCGCGTTGCAAGTAGCCAGCCAGCTGTGTAATTCCGTCTTTGAGGGTTCAGCCCCCCTTTGATGCTTGCGTCTTACAAAAACATCAGCCACCACGCCAACTTGTTCCAAATCGCGCGTCACACTCAGGTACGCTCTCAGTCCTGTAAGGTTCGGTTGTGGGTGCCCGTGGTCAACCGGCCTTGTGTGCTGTGTGATTTTGCCGCTCGAGATTGAATTCCGCCTTCGGGTCTCCAGCGTCTTCCTCGTCTGAATGATTTTCCGGCACTGCAGGAACTGGTTGCCACTCTTCTGCCATCTTCTGCCTCCTCCTCCGTACTGTCGTCAATGTTCTCCGTTGGGTCTCGTGTTTGATGTTTCTTTACTCGGCCGGTCTCTCCCACGTTGTCTTCGACTTGCTGCTTTTCATGTTCCGCGGCCGTCCCAGTTGGTGTTGTCTTTGCAAGCCCCAACAACCGGGCTCCAGCCAGGGTCCCTCGAGAGGTGCCTGGAGCTCTGCCTCAACCTGTTCCACTCGTGGCGCACTCTTTTGGTTGGGAACAGAAGTCAAAATGACGATCGGCTCCCTTGGGCTCCCGCTTTCATATCCTTCTTCATTTGTTTTTTTCTCTTCACGATCTCCTATTCTGCTTGACTGCTCCGTCCTTGCCCTTGCCACGCTTATATCTCGGACACCCGGTCGATATCCTTCTCTTCCTCTTGCTCTCCGTTCCGGGCAGCTCCCACTCCCGAGGCGGCCCTTTGCGCGGCCTGCGCTTCTCCAATGTCAGGTTTGCGCCTTCCCATTGGACTTGGTGTAGCAGTCGTCAATGCGGCGCTGTGGTTTTGCCTTTCAAGGGGCTCTGTGCAGTGGTAGTTTCTGATGTCGCGCTGGAGGTTGGGTCACTCGATGATTTGCTGGACGAGGTCGAAGGCTCCCTCCCCTCCTCTTGCGCAGTCATTGCCCCTGCTTTGGTTTCGCAGCAGCCGTCTCGGAGCTGGCCGTTCTTAGGTATCCTCATTGTCGACCTTGGACTGCTTGTTATCGCGATCCTAGTGGGTACCAACCTTTGGATCCAAACTCTAGGCTAGGATGCGTAGCCCTGAGCGCTCCGTCGTGATGGTGGAATTCTGAACAACAACAGGACATGCCCGACACAACGGCTGTAAATTAGCGTTTTTAGACCCCACAGATAAGAGGACGAATCCTGCACTTCTGAGATCCTCGCAATCTTCCACCAGTGGGATCAGTTGGTACCCAACAGAACACTGGACATCCAGGACATCGTGAGAAAAAGAGAGCTGGAGCATTGAAAATCAGACAGACGCGCCACATCGACAACACCACCAACAAACACAAACCCATGGACAAGAGCAGCGGGAGGAGCCACAACCTGGAGTTGATCAAGCACAAGATCAACACCTTCCTCATCAATGCGGACAGTCACACAACTACTGGCCATGCCAACATCATCGTTGGGGCGAAGATTCGGCCTGCCCGACAAAATGACTGGAGGTCACCTGCTCATGACCGTCGTAGTAGTTGTAGACTTTGGCACGCATCCACTCTGCAAACTTCACGCTGCAGCACATAACGACCGATCTTGCAGCAAGCTGGAAACAACAATGCCACCCTCAAAACATACCCCGAAATCTTCCCCAACCCAACTTCCCACAGCCAGCTCGTTATTTCCGCGCAAGCCCACATAGCCAGACAGGGGCAGCAGCCCCTCGACACCCGCCCGATGCACCTCAACGGCAATTTGCCCCAGGCGCTGCAGACCGATGGGAGGAGCACCCAACAGCAACCCCGGAAACATCATGCAATGATGTGAGCGCCCAACCAACCAGCAGCGCATCCATGGCTGCGCGACAGAACGCGGCGTTAAGTTAGAGCACCATTGGAACATGTTAATGTTGGATCCCGATAAGTGTGGGATTCCCTATTTGTGGAAAGCTTCGCCGAAATTATTCAGCACCCCCCAGGTTTGTTTGGGGTTCCTTAACTGTGCGAAGTTGCACGGCCAAAAGTAATTCTGAGAATATGTGACTAGAATAAATAAACCTAATTTGTTGTGAAAAGCATGGCAGGCAGTAAGTATTTAGTTTAGGGTCCTAATCCAAGCTGCCCTTTGTTACTGAGACTACTCCTTGTCCAGAGCTTCCAGAACCTCAAACCTTCGGATTTTGAGGACCTGAAAACTCCGCACTTGAAGGTTCCAAGCCAGATCCAAAACTTACAGATCAAGCCAGGTCCAAAACTACAGATTTCTCACAAGACCGCTTGTTCGAGGAGGCCTAGCAGTCATTTTTGCTCAAGGGCAGGTAGTCCAGCAGCTGCCCAGATCCTGAATTATACGAAAGTCTTGGAATCCCTCAATTATCCGTACAATCCGGGACCGGCAAAAACAGCAGCAGGACCCCAAAACCTTGTTATTTTAAAGGCTCAGCATGTAGAAGCAAAGCTTCCAGGACCTCAGGTGTCCGGAATTTCAATTTCATAGTTAATTCCAGAGCAGGTTCCAAGCCGGGTCCCAAACTGTAGATTTGTTATGAGACCCTCCTATTGCTTGAGTTTAATTTAAAACCTAGGATCCGAGCCGATCCTGATCCCTCCTATTGAATTTAGTCTAAACCTAGGATCCGAGTCGATCTTTTATTTAAACTTAGGATCCGAGCCGATCCTGATCCCTTCTATTGAATTTGATTTAAACTTAGGATCTTAGCTGATCCTGAGCCCTCCTTGATACAATTTTCTCAATTTCCATGTTTTCATTGGTGTCAAGGATTTGGGCCCTGGCCCCCCCCCCTTCCTTTGCTGGTAATTAAACCTGAATTTAAGGTTTAATTGAACCTTAAGTTAGGGTTTAGCTAGACTAAACCTTAAGTTGGTGTTTTGCTAAGCCCTAAACCCTGAGGGAGGGTTTAGCTAAACTCCAAGTTAGGGTTCACTAAACCTTGAGCTAGGGTTTAGCTACGCGAACCCTAAGTCAGGGTTGAGCTAAAACCTTAACTTAGGGCTTAGTTAAACCCTAAATTAGGATTGATCTAAACCCTTACTTAGGGTTTAGCTAAACCCTAAGTTAGGGTTTAGCTAAACCTAATTTTGGGTTCAGCTAAACCCTTAATCAGGGTCTAGCTAAACCCTAAACGCAGATGGATGCATTGGCAAGCAAGGAGGTTTGATCCCTCATATTGAATTTCGTTTAAAACCTGAAAACCGTGGAATGTTTGGGGGGTACCCCCCCTCCATCAAATAGGGACCCATTGTTGTTTGGGAGGGTGGGGGGCCCGCGCCTACACTAATCAGGACCCCACATTACAAAGGCGAACCAGCGTTGGGTGACGCAAATGGGAAAGCCAAACCAACACAACGGCTCAGAGGCAACATCAGGAGGCAGTCAGGCGACGGAACCCTTCGCGCCCAGCTTCGGCCCACCCGGCTACCACACGCGGCGTGGCAGCCAACGGCTCGCTGAAGGAGGGAGCCGCACGATCAGCCGACCCCTCAGCCACATGCAATCAACGGCCACCACACCCACCAATATAGGGGGGCTTCAGCCAGGCAGCCGATGAACCTTAGACCACAGCGAATGCTTACATGACACAAAAAATGGGTTTGCAATTCCTAGCAAATGGCTTTCGTGAAGCGAGTTGGTTGACTCGTTGGGCATGACATGGCATGATCCGCACGGCATAGGCAGCCTACGTGCTTGCAGCGTGAATTCCTCCTGCTAGCACGTGATCTGGAGTTGGGTTTGCACACTGTTTGTTTGACAGACTGGCCTTGTCGCGAATTCGGAAACAGTCTTTGCGACTGGCAGCTGAGGACTTGGGATTCTCTTGGGAAGGCCAAGTTGTATCATGCCAATAGAGCTGGCAGAATGTGTTACTGGAAAACTCAGTTCAAGACTGGCCTTCCGCAGACAACTGGCTTTGGCTCACGTGCAGGTCGAGATGAGCTGGACGATTTGTTAGACGGGGACTCACACCCCAAAGGCCGCTGTACTGCAAAGAGCCTTCTGGCATCTCCGTACACCTCCCTTCTCTTACAACCAGCTTTGAATGCTCTGCGTCTGCTTTCCTCAGCTTCAGCTTTCCCAAACGAGTAATAGGAACATGGCAGAGTGCCTGTGGCAAGTTTCGCATGCAACAGCATAGGCTAGCAGGCTGGGCTGGCTGCACGTAGCCGGTGGTTCTTAAGCATTAGGGGCATGGCGGCCTGCAGCATATCCCGATGAGGGAAGGATGGAGGCCAGGCTCAGCTGCATCAGTGCTAAAAACTTAGAGAGTCGGGCGAACTTTGCATGTTGCCACGGAGGCGTCCGCCTCCAACTTCTATCAGCTTGGATTGGCCCACCTCCATGGCGTGGATCTTATCAAGAGCCAATTTGAGCCCTGCTGATCGTGTGAGTCAACGTCCATGCTCGCATGCTGAGCATGGATGCAAAAGCATTTGCTGCTACCACGATTATTTTGTTTCCTTTGGTCGTGACGAGGGCACTTGGCGGTGATGTCTTGAAACTGGCAATGTGCATGGCCAGGTGTGTGGAAGGGAGCATCGTAAGCGATTTTCAAAAACATGTTTGACTGCATGAAGGGGGCAGCAGTACTTGAACTGGACGCGTCAGGGACAAACCTGCTGCTTTTCAGTGCATGTGACATACTTTTACACATTGGTATCAATCAAGTCCGACCTTCTGAAAACTTGCTTTGCTTTGATGTTTTGGTCACCAGCCAACAGCTTTCACAGTTGGCAACTTGACGAGCAGCTACCATTGGTCTCAGGTGGTGACGTGCGAGCAGCCTATGAGGCATGGGAAGACAAGGCGTGCGATTGCGCAAAGTCATGCGTGGCAAGGACTTCCGAGAGGCTGCGCGGATTGACCCCACCGACTTCCAAGTCTGGCAGAAGTATGAAGAAACCTACAGGCTGGATACGTACACGACGCTGGTAGCAAGAAGTGTGTAATCAGTGCTACTGCTGCTACGGTAAAAGGCGGTATCTGGGATGCTGATGGATGCTGCTGCCTACGGGTGATTGTGCCTAGGGAACACTACTGGTACCCCTGGTCTCACCTCACCTGCTTTCTGCATACCGCATGCCACCTTAATGAAAGCGTGCAAGACGATGCAAGACGAACAGATATGACAGGCAAGTGGAAAGCGACATTGCGGAGCAGCGGGATAGCTCAGACATTCGGGGCAGAAGAGGGCAGAAGTTCTTTCGGACTCTGCTGGCCCTGCATCACCAGTAGCATCGTTTCAATGGAGTCAGAGGCACCGGGAACACGGTGTGGATCGTGAGCACAACGTTGATCGCAGCATGCGCTCGGCGCGTGTTCCGCAAGAGCGTCAGGCGGGGTTTCCGGGCGTCCGGCACTGCTCTTTTAGATATTCCTGGGATTCGGTAGATCCGCACTTGCCCTCCAAGAAATGTACCCTGGAAGTGGGTCAAAGTGAGCGTGAGGCGGGCACAAGCAAAAAGCCCGAGCAAGGAGCGGTCTTGAACATCGTAACCATGAAGCTGGTGGCAATTGCATGTAGCCGTGGGATACCAGCATGCTTTCGGAAGCAGTGAATCACACAGCCGATGCTGGTCATGCTTACTATGGGCCAGAAGATTTTAAAGTAGATATATTCATTAGGGCAAGGGATGGCAAGGGGGAACATGAGCAATGGCTTTTGTGCAAAGAATCTTTCCGAAATCGCGCACATCTTATCATGAGGCATGGTCCTCACAGGTGAAAGCGCCGCGACACTTCACTCTGAAGGCCCAAACTCAACTCGCTGTGCAGTGTACATGACCAGAGCTTCACACATGCTTTCTTGCTTATTGTTAGCCCAAAGGGAGGTGCGGTGCACATGCCCACAGCAGGTCAGCAGAAGCTTCTCAACGTTGGAAGCCACCGTTGAGGATGTGGACGAGGACAGTGCCACAGTGCCACACGAATCCTTTGCTCCTTTGGATTTTGTGGGATCGAGGAAAATGCTCGTGCGGTTTTTCTTCGCGGTGGCCCGGAGCCCAATGAGAAAGAAACTCTGTGCTGTTCTGCGGCTTTCATGAAGCTCTGTGAAGGCAGCCTGTTTGCCAGCCAGCAGGAAGGCGCAGAGGACAAGGCCGATTCTCGACCCGTGCTCTTGCCATGAAGTGGATGATGCCAGGGCCCATCGAACATCGTCAGACTTTGTACTTTAGATTTTGCAGGATGACAACCTCGAGTCGCGAGCCTCAGTAAAAGTAGTGTGCAGCTCCACTGCCGTGGGGCATGGCATCATGCATGGGTCAAACCATCAACCCAAGGATGGTGACCACCAGCCCGAGACGGTACTTCTTCATCCTGCTGGCGGGAACTGCTAGAATGCGACCCGATATATAAAGCAAGCTACTACAAGAAACCCTTATTTCCTGCATCAATCATCATGTAAGCAAATCTCTAAGCAAGATTCGCTCGCATACTCTTCCAGATAATTTGAGAGGCCTGGTCCTTGACGTGGCTGCTTGTTGTGTACCACTACCGCTCAGGAGAGGGGCACAGGCGCGATCCAGATCGGTCCTGCAAATCTACTTTCAGGTTTAGCTCACGATCCCTTAGGGAAGCATTAAAGATAGTAGCAAAGCTCGAGGCAGGAGTCATTCTCTCAGCAGGACATAGGGTTGGTTTCGCTCTTATTGAAACGAGTTTTGCGCAACCATGCTCTCAATGTGCCGGCAGAAATGAAGCTAGATACACGGACATGAACGAGCGGTTCTGCTTTAATTACTTTTCCGTTGGCAGCCGGAAACGTGGCGCAAAGGAGGGAAGCGTGGCGGAATCGAAGGTTTTTTTTCAAGATTCAGGCGGCAAGAGATGTCTTCGCGAAACGTGTCATCCGAAAGTAACGTTGTTTCTCTCCAGAGTTTACTTACGTTGCCCAACTGCACACTATGACTAGGATCTCAATTCTGCTAGGCAAAGGCTGAGTATTTGCCAGGAACCAAAGGCATTACCTGTTTGAAATGTTCTGTTGTAATCCCGTCTATCTCGATCTTAAAGCCTTCAAAAGGTGAATGGCAGCTTATCCACACTAGAAATGTTTCCGGCTCTGTGACGGCTTTTGTCCAGACCCGTTGTGTAAGTTTGCGCGAAAGTTTTGCAATAGTTCCGTGTGAGTCACACTGAAGTAGGGGGTACAATCTGCAGGCAAGGGCTCACAGAAGATGAGTGCGTACTGATACTCAAGATAATGTGCCCCGAAAAGGCTCGACGAAAATGGGGTTGAAATCAGGCTTGGGGAGCCATCCCAACCCTCTCAGCCCCCCTCTGGCATGGGCAGGTCTTGGCTCAAAGATTTCAGACTCCAAGCCTTGGGGTGCAGGTTCAGGATGGTTCAGGGTCTCGGATTCATGTATTTAGAGTGAAGTCAACGGTTTTCCCATTCCTTCTAGTTCTAGGCTGCTCAAGGAGCTAGCTATCAGAACCATGCATGGGCGATGTGCCTTTCTGAAAGCTTTGCGAAAGCATTTTTTCCCGCGAAGATGGTCACTTCGGGATGAAGGAAGTCAGCTTAACGCCCTGTGAATGCACTGTGCCGGCAGAAGAAATGGACAGAAACAATGCAGGGTCTTCTTCGAATGAAGCGGAAATCAACAAAGCCAAGCCGGCGACATCAACAGCAGCTCTTGATCCGCGGATGAAACTGAAGTTAAAATGAACGAAATGATGCAAGCCAAAGGGGTGCATAAAACCAATGTTGTTCTCAGCACTTGGACAAGACATAAGGCTGCAGAAGTAAGCAGAAAGGAAGTTAAATCGTTCAAAGGCTGCAAACTGGAAATGGCAAGTGTGAAAGCTGCCAGGCTACTCTTTCAAATGCCCCATTATGGGGCGCACCACAGTGCACTAAGAATTGGCGACGGACTTGACAAAGCTCAACTACTCAGATTGTCACATGTTTGCTTCCTTGCCTTGTCCTCTTGCATTTGCTTCATCCTGGGCCGGGCAACAGCAGTCCAAGAGCTCGAACCAGGGAGTATTAGAGGCCACCTGCAGCACCACCTGCGCATACAAGCAGTTCAATGCACATTTCACAGCAGCGTCCTGAGAACTTGGAAAACGGTGTTAAGCCTCGGCTTCTGTTCATTCAGCTTTGGGCTATTTGCTGAGCTGTAGGAATTCGATAGGAAAGATCACGCAAGGAGAGTCAATCAGAGCCCCTGGCTGGGTTGTAGCACGTGGCAAGACCATGCAAGTCATTGTCAGGGACGTGGATCCTTTGGAGGTGTTCGGATGGATGGCTTTCGAAGCGCCCTCAGCTCACCAGATTTGGCTTGCCTCGGAAGCATCCTGCAGTCACACAGGTGCTCGCTGTGCTTGTCTACGTGGTTTGGCGACATCATCAGAGGCACGACAGCATCACGGGACACTATCACCTGCACCTTGACATGGTGCTCCTAGAACTAGCTTGCACCAAGGCCTTTCCGTTTGCGGGCGTCGGATTCCTGGTGTCCTCTCAGGCCACGCCATCCAGCCCAGCCATTCTCAGCCGCGCAGAGGTCCGATGTAATCAAGATCCTGGCGGTGCTCGTGATTCTGATCTGCTCCTTGTATCACACTTCCCAAATCACAGTGCCACAAGCGCCAGAAAGGCCACCCGACCCGACGGTGGGAAAGTGAACAAATAGATTGCACAAGCTCGGGCATCTTCGTTGACTATGACATTGGCATTTCAAGAGATGCCCGGCTACAACATCAATGTGTCATCAGGCCAGCGGGAAGTGAAGGAGTCCAGGGACACGCTGGACTTCGACTTCGGCCTAGGCGGGGAGCGCTGAAGGTGAAGACGCTGCCTGCGGCTCCTTCATTTGCTACGTTTCACTAGTGGTCCTGTGACAGGTGGAGATTCCAAAGACAAGGACCTTAAGGACTTTGGCGACTTTGGTTTAGGCGCTTGAAGTTCAGCTTGGCGTTTCGCAAGACATGCATGCATGGTCGGCATTTTGTTGAACAGGTGGCTGAGTTGAACGGCCACTTGCACGGTGGGGACATGCGAGTAATTCTAGAAACGCAGCTTCTTGGAGGAAGCATCATGTCGAACTTGATTTCTCCACATTTCTCCAATGCTTTTTTCGGAACACAGCCTTGTAACTCTCAGGAGGCTGGCAACGCGTTTCTTCGCAACCAGGGCCTTGTGCAGTGAGAATCGTATTCAAAAGCAATGAAACTCAAGCTTGGTGACATCATGTAAGTACTCGTAGAACCTGGTGGCTGATGGATGTTTCAGCTGTACCGGCATCGTACCCAGTCAGCGCCTCAAAAAAGCAAGACACAATGAGACAAAGGTAATTAAAGAAACCGAGCACCGCCATGCACACTTGGCAAACAGCACAACGAAAGTAGATTTGGTCCGAACAGGTAACATTGTGAGGCCTGAACTTTTAGCAGGGCATGAGCAACGCATCAACGTTATTGTTGTATCTCTTTCGCTCTGATCCTAGCTCCCCCCCAGGGCCTACCACGCTCGTTCTACGGCAGCAGAATCCACTGTAAATACCAATGAATTTGGCTAATTCGGCAGCCCCCAACTTCGCATCTGAAATTGCAATGTTGGACGTGCGAATGTGCCGCTGCTGTGGTTTGACACCAGATCCACGCGTGCCATCTAGTTTTTTGGCAGTAAGCTATATCCGAGCTTGATAGGGGGAGGGTGAAGGGGGGGCACTTACGCACGTCACAGACAATCTTTGTTTCTGCAGAAAGCACCAGGGAAACCTCACTGAAGGGTCATAGCCAGTGGGGCCTACGTCAAGATGGAAGAGTCAGCAACTGAGGTTCGGATGTAGCATCTTGTCGAAGCGATGATTTATGCTTTGAGCTAGGTGTTACAACCACAGCGGCGGCACAAACGGCGGCACGTTTGCGCATACGCACAGCTGGGGCTTGCAAAACTACCCGAATTCCTTGATTTCATTGGTATTCGAAGAGGATCCTCCTGCTGTGAACTGAAGTGGGAGACCCTAGGGGCGGCGGCTTGTCCTGGCAGCCGTTCATTCAGTACTGCATGGCCTTTGCCTTATTCTAACCCATCACTTGGCAAGGCTTGGAGAAAGATTTCGGCACCTGGGCAGAGTCAGGCTATGTAAATCGCATGCATAGCGGGAAGCTAAGGCCTTGACCGCGAACCGGACTTCGACTTCGGCTCCTTCGGCAATGGCTGCTTGATTTTTTTTGCTTGTCTAGGAGAGCTCAGAGAACTGCTCACTCGGCGGCTCTCTTTTTAAGGTCACAGAGGCAAGGGCAAGGAGCCGAGAGACGGGAAGGACTCTCACAAAGGAAAGTCGAAGGAGAGCGTGCGCAGCTTTAAGGTTGAAATGGCGGTTTGGCATCCATGGATCGAAAGATTACTGCTAATGCTTCACAGTGTCGACGGATGCATGGAATAACTTCTTTGTAGATGTATGCAGAGATGTCGCGGGCTCGCCCGAAAGCCTGTCTTGCATCCTTTGTGAGGACCTAGTTTTTCAATCAGCTGGCCTTCCAATACTCGCAGGAAGAGTTATCAGCAGCAGAAACCGTAGCACCAGCAAACAAAGAATGGTGCCCAGGTCGTAACTCGATAATGGTTTAAAGGCCAGCATGGAGATGCACGTGTTTTTGTGATCTTGGTATGGTCCTCGTAGATGATGATCATGATGATGTAGGCTTGTCCGGTCCTGGGAGTGCAAGACGTTGCTCATGTGGCATCTTGATTTTGTGGGTTGTTCCTTCTCGCAGATATTCATGGGTTCATCCCGGCCCCTCTGTCTTTTCGTTTGTCCCACGTCGTACTGTGCCCAAGGGCTGATCGATCGAGTGGTATTTTCTTTCTTCTGTTTTCGATTAAAGCCTTCTCGTCTGGCCTGCAACAGCCAGCCTTGGTATGCAGGATGTCTGCTGTATGTCGCTCTATGAAAGTAATGCATTCACATCAATGACGGGACATATATGCATGCGAGTGCTTGTACAATGCCCCATCTTGGTGATATCCAATGAGCCGGCCATGATAGCACTTGGCACTTCGTTTTGGCTGCCGTTAGTCTTCAACACCTGCCTTTGCGATTCGGAGATTTTGGAGGAGCCTCGGGAAGCGGATCCGAAGCAGGCTTTAGCCTTGCCGGGCCGGAGCCGCTTGGAAACTTGGATGAAGATCTCATTTTGCAGGTGTTCATTGCGAACATCGGTGAAGCCAACGAGGACATGGAGGGAGAGAGATCGAGAGAGCGAGAAGTACCTGAATAGCATTCGAGCTCAGCCCCTTGGCCTACTGCACTCTGCATTGTTTTGACCTGATTTTGGTGTTCGCTTGTATGCACGTTGATAGAGGTTTGTGTAGTCTCCCTACATCGCCAGCAGCGCGGAGCAAGGGGAACAACCTCGTGAAATGAGTGGCGCCTATTTCAGACGGTAGAGTTAGGGTAAATGGCCTGCTATGTTTTTGTTCCGGGAACCTGTTAACAAGTGTACCTAGACGCCACGTCCAACGCCCCCCAACGCAGAAACCCCTGCACACGGCCTGGAGGGCGGTGAGCTGGTCGTTTCTGTATTATGGTGGTCTCTTTTCTGAGTTGTCTTGGATCGATAGGGGTGCTGCTGCTCTAATTTAGGGAGCGGGCCTGCATGGGCAATCAGTGTCACAGCCAGCTGGAGATTACGGAGTGCAAACTGGATATTGAAAGTATTTCCCGACTCTGTGTACCATTAGGTAGGGGGATAACGTCATCCGTACTGCATTCCTGATACTCGCTGGTCCCGACCCCGAACAGCGGACGCATGCGTGGGCTCGGGGGTGCGCCCCGGCCGGCCTGTAAGGGGCCGGCTAAGCCCGGAGAAGAAGAAGCGATCTTTCGGGGAGGGGGCCGCCCGGTGCTAGCCCTTCGGGGGGTGGGAGGTAGTCCCCGACTTGCTGAAGGAGGACGAGCGCTGGGTGGGGGGGCTTGACCGTTGCAGTTTCCAAGACGGACCTGGAGGGGAGGGTGCCCCTCCGCAGGCCTAGGGGTATTTGAAGTAAATCCGCACTCTTGATGAGTATGTAGAAGGGGCCTCTCCGGCTGCAATGACACGCTGGGCCGATTATTCTGACTCCGTTTGGACAAGGTAATTAATGCTGCGTATGAAAGATTTCCAATGATTTTGAAAGGATTTTACTTCGAATTCAGAGTTCCGTGCGGATTGGCATGGGCCGGAAGAGCCGGATCAAATAGTCGAAGCCGAAAACAGGCGGTGGGGAGTAGGAAGGGGACATGACTTTCGCGACTGTCAGACCCACTCTCTTGATGGCTGGGAACCTTGCCCACGGACCAACTTGTAATGATAAATCATAGCTATGCCAGTAGCGCTCCACCTAACTCGGGGGTACCATTACCCAGCACAGCGCCAGCGGGAGTCGCAGGCACAGGCAAACTATAGAGGAAGAGGATGAAGAAGTGCCTGCAGTTAGCAGAAGGCCTGCTCCAAATCCTGGCGGCCAGACTTCACAAGCCACAGCTGAGACAGCAGACAGGGAGGAAAGAGGAGAAAGCAGAGGGATAGGGAGCAAAAGACAGCTTCAAATCGGAAGGCCTATTTTTTGGTGATGTTTTGTTTTGAATTTTTTGGGGTGTGGCCTTTGCGTGGAGCGTGTTCGAATTGTTGCCTTTTCCATCATTTTCAATAGTTTTTCGATCATCATGATTTTCATCATTTTCCATCATGTTAATGACTTACTTGACTTTGCCTTCTTTCTGCTGGCTGCTTGTTTTTTTGGCTTCTTGGCTTTCTGGCTTCTGCGATTTCTGGCTCCTCGGTTCCTGAAGTAGTAGTTGTAGTAGTAGTTGATGATCAGTAAGGGAGGGTTCTGCAGATCATGTTGTTTGCAAACCGGGGGGGGGGGAGCGCTGCGTCCCCCCCAACCGCCTCGCCTTTGTGACGACCATCCATGCCTGCCATTGTTGCTGTTTTAAATCATCTCATTACTTTCCATGCTCCCGACACCCACCCCCACAATTTTTTGTGTAAGGCCATCCAAGCTTGCTGGAGTATGCTGGAGTTATGTAGATCATGTTGTTTGCAAATAGGAGGGGGAGGTGCGCGCCCCCCCACCCCCCGCCTTTTGTAAATGCAATCCATGCTTCATGTTCTCATCATCTTTATGGTTTCTCACAATTTCCATCATTTTCCAACATCATGTTGCTTAGTTTGTTTTCGTGTTCATCGTTTTCCATCATTTTCATCCGCATCCTTCTTCATACTTTTCAATTTGCTCCATAATTCACATGTTTACATCATTTTCACAATTTTCATAATTTTCACGTCTTTTCATTATGTTTCATCATTCGTCATCATCATTCATCATTTCTCATCATGCTCATCACTTTCTATCATGTTGGTTCGTGCTTATCCTTTTCACGATTTTTCATTATTCTCCGCATTTTTCAGCATTTTCTACTGCGGTCGGTCGAAGTCGGGCCTTGTTTCTGTGAATACCAGCAGTCACAGGGGGAGCGATTCAAAGCTCAGTCGGGCCTTGATGCGTTTACCTGAGGATTCACGTCTGCTCAGAACATTCTTGCCATCCTCGTTGTTCCTGGGTACCTTGTAAGCCGGCCTCTTATGATGGATTTTCGTTCTGTGTTAGTGCAGCTTTAGTACTCGAACGGCCGTTCTCGGCGACTTGATGGATTTTCGTTCTCTGGTAGTACAACTTTGGTGCTCCCACGGTCTGTAGTCGCCCCGAACTCCCTGGGATGTTTGCAATGACAGGGGAAGTGGCAAAGGGGACGTAGCACCAATTCGCAGATACTTGGGGGTCAGCGCCAAAGGTATCACACTGTTATAAGTATTTTCGAGAAGACTGACACACAGCTGACACACAGCGACATGTAGAAGTCGCCGCGTTTTTTCTGATCGGCGGCAGTACTTGGGGGAACATTTTTCAAAGTCGACTATGATTTGCCTTGCTTAAAACCCAGATGGAAGATCAAAAAGACAGTAAGACAACAAACATTTTGAAGCAATGATGTGTTTCCCACTGCAGTATGCTTACACTACGGGTTTTGTGATGCCTCAAGTTCGAAGTGCCTCTGGTACATGGTATTATACCTTGTTCCTGGCGCGACGTACTGCGACGCCTCCAAATGTGGCGTGCCCGTGGTGACTGGTGATGCGCATGGAAAACTATATGACATGAAGGTTTGTCTCCGTGCCGTTGCACTAAGAATACAGATGCCATGCGACGGTTTCACCATTTTTGATTGCTGGAAAATCTGTTGTGGAAAGCGCGTGTACGTGAAGTTCCCTTGTTCCTGGCACGACTTCGGGTCAGCTATATGAAATGTGGTTTTTGTTTGGTCTGTTTCAGCAACAATTCAGACACCATGCATCTGTTTTGGTTGTTGCACAACCTGCTGTGAAAGGAGCGTGTACATTGCGGTTCATGGTTTCTGGCATAATTTTCTGTCATGCCTCCAAATGCGGCCTGCCCCTGGTGAGTCGCATGAAAACCACATGAAACGCGCTGTTTCTTTGGGCTGTCCGTTTCACACTGAAGTCAGATGCCACGCGTGGTTTTAGCTGTGGGTTCTCAGCAGGGTTTGGGGTATCGTTCGGGCATCGTTAAAGGCATCATTATACCCCCAAAATCACATGTATCATATGAAGCCTAAAGCAGCCTATCCGCACGCGTTTACATGGGGACCTCCCTGTCAGTCCTATGCTTTTCTTTAACATGGGAACTGCTTGGATCTTATGATCTTCTATGGGTTGAAATATGAAGAAGACTCTTTGAATTCTAGTTGTTTTTTACACAGGGGATGATCATTTGGTGCTATTTTGTTTTTTTGTGGGGCAACCCTTGTGATATAATGTGGGAAGGTCCCTTTTAGTCCTATGTTCTTAGATGGGAAAGATGATTTTAAGCCTCTGCTTTTGTATGGAAGACGGCTTTAACCTTGCGTTCTTAATGTTGGGTTCTGATTATAAAACCACCCGCCCCCCCCCTCCCCTCCCCCAAAAAAGTCCGGATCAGAACAAACCGGGGGGCCCTAATCAAGTTCGGGAAAAGTTGTTTGGGGGGGCCGGGCAAATCCCGATCCTTAGGGCTATAAACAACCCTAAACTTCTTTTTGTCTTTTGTTTGTTTTTTTCTGCCTGGGCGTTTCCAGAAGCCAGCACGCATTATTCCGT